AAAGCGTTATTAACAAAGTAGTAGAACTTGGAATTACTCCCAAGGAAGAAGGAGGGGGTGGAGAAGTTTCTTCTATACCGATCGATGAGGCCTCGGCAATGAGAAGTATACGGAAGATTACCTATTACATAATTTATTTTAGAAATGTGTCGCCATGCTCTTTCATTAACATCCCACTTCATATAATGCAACCCCTGCCAGCACTTACCAATCTTCCCCCCCCCCCAAGTTACAATTTGATTATTCATCACATTTTGATGACGGAAACAATAAACTTAACTAATTTTTATTTTTGTTTGACAATCCTAGTGTACGCACACACACGCAATAATTGTAAATAAAAGCAATTGTACAGCTAAGTGAATGAATTCGCCGCTGTAAAGAGACTCTTCACTGAAATCTGTTGTTCTTCTTATATTCAAATCTGAAGTGGTCGAAATCGATAAATTACAAACACATACAGCTCAAGACATAATTTATCAACCCGTACAACATTATAGCATCAAACTTAGTTTCAATCACACAAATATTGACTCCGAATTGTATTGTTTCAATTCAGTATACACATATGATGGATAGACGCAAAAGAACAATTTCCCAAGTGGTTATTACGTCATACAGGGAATGAAAAATGCAATTAATTTGAATAGCATTACAATATCATTCATCGCCAAGTATTTATCAATGTCGGATTACAAAACCAACATAACTAATGACTGTCTATCAATTATTTCATCATCTAATTATAATGAAAGGTTGTTAAAAGTAGTTAAAAGTAATGGATTAATCACATGGACTACACATTCTAAAATTTTGCCTATCCTGCACTGCATGACGTAATTAAATATGATAGATGATTAAATATTTTTTTGACTTTATATTATAACTTTGATTAATTGTTAACCATGCTAAGTGCAGGACAATTTTCTAGAATGTACACCAACCCACGTTTCAGAGATTTGCCACTAACTCCCTCATCAGAAATCTATAATGAAACACTTATTTGTTTATTTATTTTTTTGGTTATAGCTTGATTCCACACCGTATTTTTGGTGCAAGTATAGAATTCTCAGCATGTGATATCGGTAGCCCAAATTTAGCAGGCCGACCATTGATATCAGGTGTGCGTCGGCAGGGGATCGAACCCCGAACCATGTGCATTGTCGGCGAGAGTCCTAACCGCTGTGCCACCCACGTACTATTAAATTTTAAACCATACTGAACATAATGGGTTCAGAAATGTATGTATTAACAAACAAACTCCTATAGTTGAATACCTCTGAGTCGAAGAAGAGCTGTCGTCATTTCACTTACCCACTGTATCAGAGGAATTCGCAGCATTCAATAATTAGAAGAAGACCTCTCATTTCTCAAAAATACTCTGACTCAAAATGGATACCCCACATATTTTCTGAAGGAGAACACGAAACCAAAGCCAAAAAGAGAAGAATATAGTCCACTGTCAAAGGAAATACTATCCGCATATCATACAGGAATTCAGAGAAGACTTAGTGTCAGATATCCTGAAGAAGAGATTCTCTAGTTCCCCTGAAGAAGACCTTCCTTGCAGCAACACTAAGAGTTAGATTCTCTAACCGCCTACTGCTTGTAAGCAATGTGAAGGACAAACTATCACATATAACGAAGATCCCAATGTGCCTTTCGCCAGTTTAGCTGCCCGTGGGGAGCTAGGCACATAGGTCATTCTATGTATATCTTTCCAAAACGTTTTAGAGAACATTACACGGCCCGGTTGCAAAGTGATGGCACTGGTTCAATGGAAGCGCTATAAGTGAACACACCACATCAGCACCTGTCACAGCATCTCACCCAAATCATTATTCAGAATCATTTACAAAGTAAACGAGAGTCTATCAGAGACAGTGTTTCCGACTTTTTCGTACTTTAGAAGCCCTCACCACGTGCCTCGAAAAGCCGAAGGTATTCATTCAAAAGAAACTAGTCTGAACTCTAAATTTACCATGGATCTAGTTCGGTTTGATTCTTTAGTTTTCGTCTTTTCATTACATTGGAAGACCTGCACGTAGTTCTGGACAGCCGTTTTGTCCCACCCGGGTACTCCTCATCAGTACGCACCCAGGATCTTCCAGTTACAAGGGGAGCTAGCTCAGCCACCAGGACCCCTACCTAATGGCCAACCCATAAATTTCAAACTAAGTCAATTCGTGATATATATTTAACCCAACCGCCAGTCAGTGTCACAGGCAAGTAACCGTCCTCTCTCCTGACCTGACCAAAAGTCGTAACCGGTGGGGTCCGCCATGTCAGATAAAGGGGTGGTTACTTGCTTATGATACTGACTGGCAGTGGTGTTAAATATATATTCCGAACTGAAAGAGGTTGAAATTCATGGGCTGGTTATTGGGTGGGGTCCCAGTGGTGAATGGTTCACGAGCTAGCTCGCCTTGTAACCCGGGTTTTGAACCCCGGTGGATGCGCACTACTGAAGAGTAGCAGGGTGGGATGAAACAGCCATCCAGTAATCCGTACAGGTCTTCTAATCGTTCTCTAACTGATGTCAACGCATGATCAATCCTGCAACCAATCAAATCCCTACAAACTGACTGCTAAAAAAATAACTAAATAGACACATGTAGCACTGATAAATAAGGATTAAAATCTTTACAGGAATATCGACACTTGTAACATTGAAAGAAAAAAACCCACATCTTGCTGATAACTATCTGACAGTTGCATAACCTTGACCTAGAATTTTTAAAAATTTTATGTCAATCCAATTCATCTCTACTTAGGTTGTATATATAAATTATTCTAGAATTTCTTATAAAATTGAAATAGACTTCATGAAACCACTTGACACATACCAATCATCCTGTGAAAAAACTAAACTGTAGCAGCTTGCTGTGTGGAAATGAATTATGTAAGGTCGACACATAACTGACTGACTGTATAACTTGAAACGTATTTATCAGACTAACTGACTAACTAACCACTACCTAGAATTTCCACATAAAACTTTTCATTAAAATGCAACGGTTCATGTTATCATACTTCGTAAAAGTACACATATAAAGATTAAGGAAAAAAGATATTCAAAGGAAATATAATCATTGAGGAAAAGAATAAGGGTTTAATAGATCTGACTGACTGGTTTCCACATAGAACTTTCCACAGACGTGCAGCAGTTCCAGTTGCCACACTCCCTCAATGCAGCACACAAAGCAAGACAAGAGAGTAAAGAGAGATTCAAATGGCAGATAATAAACAGAAATATAAGGCAAAAAGAACAGTAATATGGAAAAAACAATAGAATTTTATTGCATATTATAAGTCACAAGGAGTGAATGCATCTGAGCCATCATCCAGAACGAGGGTTTCGAGCCATATCACTAATTGTCTCCAGTCTTCATTCGTTTTTACCATAAAGAGGACCCCAACTCAGAAGCCTGTCTACACTTCCCTAAGTCACTAGCTTAAACTAACTGTTGTGGATTTCATTGACTGACGAACCCGTGTTTTGGTTTGACCGCCACTAGCCAACTCTTTTCTAACCTGATCCATCCAATGTCAGCTAGCATTGTCAGCACCATCGAGGAAGGCGATGGCTAGCGTAGGCATGCGTAACACATGTCCTAACCATGTCAATCAGTATAAATTCACAACCTCATCGATTGATTTCCACTGCTTTTCTAGACCTTGACCGACGCCTCACCTCAATATTGCTCACCTTATTATACCACTTCACACTCAGACACATTTGATCAAAGACAGCTAGCCAGGAGTTTCATGTCTTCCACTTTCAATGACCATGTCTCGTTAACAGCCATAAATGAGGACGGAGCGGACTGCTGAGCAGTACACAAGCCCTTTGGTCGACAACCGGCCGGATATCATGTCTGTGCCAGAGATGGCGTAAGTTGGCATATGCTAGGCGAGCCTGCTGTATCCGAGCTGAGATTTCGTCAGTGATCAACCCGTTGGGGCTGATGCAACTTCCCAAATAAGTGAAGTGGTCAACACGCCCTACCAACTACTTCACTCCCTATCTTTAAGCTAGGAGTGAATCAATGTAGTCCAATCCTGCAGCATCATCTAATATTTGACGGGAGCGATCTAAGAGATTACAATGAATGAATGCATCTCCACCGTCGACAAAAATTCTGAACCACGTACGTTACCAACAGTCTTAAGCCATTGCTATCTTAGTGTCTCGAATACCCCATCCAAAACGTCTACACCTCCCCAAGTAGCTAAAACGAGTTGTTAAAGATTTCATGGACTGATACCAAGTTTTCGTTTGACTACACTTAACTCTTTTCCGTCAAACTTTCTGTAGCGATTGCTTGATCTTCCAAGGTATAGTCGCTAGACCCATGCCAAAACCCCCCTTTTTTCGAACTTGGAATCGGCTAGCAAACTAGGTGAGTGCGACATCACGCGTCAGGCACCCAAATGGGAAAAATAAGACAAATTGAAAGCCCAAGGGTGACATGGAAGAGATCGTGTGAGGAAGACATGAGAGCTTATGGACAACTGTTGAAGCCCTATGTTTCATTTAAAACCTTAAGGATTAATAATAAAGATAATAATTACTCTTCTCCAAACTAGTTTCATGACAGCTAATATTCCTCAACGAAGAACACAATGGCTTGGCATACATAACACGTGTCTTAACCATCTCATCAGTCGGTGTCGCTTCACAACAGCATCGATTGATTTTTCCACCTCACTTAACACTACTAACTCCGATGTCGAATATTACCCACCATATTATACCACTTAATAGGGAAGATTGAACACAAACACATACTGGTCAAGCAAACCTAGCCTCACTAAGTCTTTTACGACCATCCCTTACTACAGTACAGAGAACTGTTGCACTGTACACACGTGCCTTTTGATTACTATTCAAGCCTACAAACTGCACCTAGTATAAAATATCTATCTGTAGAAGAAGACAGAAAATAAAAAGACGAAATTCGATTGTCAATCAAAAATAATTTATTATTATTATTTACATTGGCATTTATTAGCATAAATGTAATAGATGATTGCGATTATCTTTTAAAGGACGCCAAAATACTGAACAGGCGTATCGACAATCTGTAATTCTTGGCAAATATCCCGGCACCAACCAACCTGTTTGACTCTTGTCCAATAATTCTTCTGTACAAGAAAGATTCAACTTTTCACTTAGAATATTCATTGAATTCAGATTATCCAGATAGGCTGCAGTAATATTCAATTTTGTATTCAATTCTTTATTCTCATGAATGCATTTCATTGCTGGTGAATACTGAAATATTATTGTTTTTTTGTAAAATAATATTGAAAAATAAAATAAATCTTTAGATAAAATATTCATTTGAAATATAAATAAAATAACTATATAGTTTAATTGATTTTTAATGATTCTCTAACCGACATCAATCTGTGATCGAGTTAGACCACGGACTGATATCAGTTAGAGAAGCATTGAAAACCATCTGGGAGTACTGGATAGCCAGCTGTTTCATCCTAGTTTGGGAACTCACCGGCAGTACGCACCCACCGCCAGGGTTCGAACCCGGGACATTCCAGATACAAGGCAAGCTCGTATACCATTTAGCCACTGGGACCCGACTCAATGGCTAGCCCATGAATTCTAACTTCTACGGGAACAGTTCAAAGTGAGAATAGTAATAGTGACAATTGACGTAATAAAGGAAGAGTATACAAATTGAATAGACAAAATGAAAAAAATGAAAAATTAGTAGAGCCAAAATATGATTAGGAATTACCATACTTCAGCACAGAGGGATTAAGACCATGAAAGTTGGAGGGGTTGAACGAACTTTTCTGTACACAGAGCTATGGCTTTTCTGTTTCGATAGCCAAAGCTTCAGCAATACAGATGAGTCGGGTACGTAGTGATTTCGGTAAATTACTCAACAAACAAATTACTTTTTGCCTTGTAGATGAGTTTAAAGGCGGAGGCTATAGGGATTGGGTGATCAATATCACATTATCATTTAGTACCAAAGACTATAGACGAGAGAAATGTCAAGGAAGTCACCTTTTCACTTACCTAGACAACATCCCTTCAAATACAGGCACACAGCAAAGATGAGGATATTAAAACAAGAATTGGAAAGGCAAGACACGTCTTCATCACTCTGAAATCAGTTTGAAAATCCTCTGCACTCAGCAGAAACAAAAAAATTCGGATTTCCAAAACACATCACGTTAGTTAGAGACGGCGCAAGCGTCACTACAAACAATTCGAACAGGCTACTGTAGTCTTTTATCAACTGCTGCCTTCGCTGACTGTATACTGAGGATTAGATGACAAGTCAGAAAGGATTGGCAGCAAAGAATTCTGGGAACGAATCAACCAAGAAGCTATTATCCCCAAAAATATGCAGAAAGAGATGAAGATGGGTTGGAAATCAGGTGAGGAGGCAGTTGAGCGACATCGTGTACCAGGCAGAACGTCGAGTGGAACTCGAATGCGAAAGGATGAGTTGATTATAGATCTGAGAGTGACAATGGGGAGATCGTATTGTGGTGACAGCTATCTGCTAGCCAAAATTGGTAGACAACAGTTGACGTCAATGTTTACGTCCCAAATCTTGGTCATCAGAAAAAAAACAAGAACAAAGACTAACTCAACAACCAATCACATAACACTGCGTGGGCGGATACGATTCACAGATATATGGTCTGACCTTCAAAGAAACGGCCACAAAGAGATGACAGATTAACTTTCAGCGAGAAAACAACCAATCAGAAGACGCTATTTCTCTGCTAATAATAACGAATAATAATGTACATAAAAATCTATAAATATCTGTTGATTTTCTCAATAAACAATCTGCTGCCTGGCCCTTTTCTTCTGTCGTTACAGTATGAGACGGAGGAGGACGAGGAAATGAAAGCTTTTGGGTAATCGAGGAGCTAGTTAAAGAGGACAAGCAGAGAATAGGATGAAATGAAGATGTGCTATTGAAGCGCTATGTTCCACTCGGAACTCAGGGGAATAATAATACTCAGCATTAGATTAACTAGTTTCCATTACATGTAACATTTTCTCAATAACTCAAAGTAACACTTCTGAACATATTAACAAAAAATTGTCTTACTTTTATTTGATACAATTGAAGAAGGCAAGCAGTCCAAGTACTGTCTATAATTTGTATTTGTTTAACACTACTAAGAGGAACACTACAACTTGGATATTGATTACGTATACTATCTAATGTGTGCTCAGATAATGGAGGAGCATAACAAACACGTGGAGGTTCTTTTAACGACAGCTTAGCTAGACAATTCACCAGACTAGTGAATATTGATCCGTAGACCGGTTGGATTCCAGTATCGGACAGACTGATGCATGACTTCTTCCTAGTTAAAATTAGATCACAAAAAATTGTACAAAAGGTGGACAAGAAATAAATTCATTATACACATTGCTGGTAAGTGGGACATTTTGGTAAATTCAGTACAAACAAATATATACACTTCGGTCCAATCAATCGACGGGAAAACCTAAAATTCATCCGAGTGGAACATAATGCTTCACACTTTGAAGTTCTAGTAGCCGAGGTGGGGTTACCAGCCTTACGCCCAAACTCCTCTTTTCCGAACTCACTACAGCATAGTAAACTAGGTAAGGTTCAGGAGTTCTTCGGCTGGGAATCCAGCTCCGATCTCCACCTATCAAAGAATAATGAGACTTGGCGCGTCATAAAGAGCATCTCAAACAAACTACAAACCTTCATTAACAGTTGTCTTCGCTCAATACTCAAGATCAGATGGCCAGAAAAGATCAGCAATAGAGATCTCTGGTAATGAGCGAACCAACCCAACAGGAACCGATTGTGAAACAAATAGGCAGGAAGAAATAGAGATGGATTGGCCATACTCTGAGGAAACCATCAAGTGACATCACTAGACAAGCCATTGCTCGAGTGGAACCCGAAAGGGAAGCGGCGAGTTGGTCGTCAGTGCAAGGGTGACTTGGAGGAGGTCATGTGAAGAGGAGATGAAAACGTGTGGACAGACATGGAGCCAGGTGAAGACTCTAGCAGAGAACAGAACGCAATGGAGACGCACGGTTGAAGCCCTATGTTCCTGTAGGAATTAAAGGAAACAATATATATATATATATATATATATATATGCAACTAGTGTGATAGCGGTTCAGTGGTAGAATGCTTACCAATCACGTACAAGGTCCGGGCTCGATTCCCGGTAGTAAGCTCAGGAAAAACGAGGCAAGGTTAAGCGGAGTCCAGCAACCGCAGCTCGTAAAAAACTCTATCACAACTGAAACTTCAAAGCTTAAACGTGAAGCCCTGCATTCCACTCGAAACGCAACGCAATGGAAAAAAATGAAACTTGAGAAGTTCTAACTGCCCAAATAATTATAGATTTATTTCAGAAGATTTTGCTCCGAGATGTCGTTTTATGACGTTTTTTTTCTTAAGTTAAAATTGACTGTTGGAATTTTGTAAATTACTTTCTTATTATTATTAGTTATTATGCATTACTTGTGTTCCAAGTGAAATGTCTCTATTTGACTCAATTCGCCGTCATCGTTTTCGCTTGGTTCCACAACTGCCAAATTGGGAAAACAATCAGAATGTAGACACCTATAAACCCATTGTCAGTCATCAGGCATTCATTCATAAGGCTGTCGGTATCTGGTATGTATGGATGTGATAGGATGAGAGCAAAGATGTAATTCAATGCTTGACTAATTGTTGGAAACCAAGATCTATAGGATAATACTTCGCTACTGGTACCAGTATGCCGGTGGTACACTGCCCATCAGCTCCACGCGATGTCCACGTGCGATTCCCGGTGGACGAACCTCTAAACCATACCTAGGTGTAGTAATTCCAGAGGCGAAGAAGGGTGGTTGGGTGTGAGACTAGCACTTTCACACTGAAAGAACAACACTATCGCTACTGAAATTCGAGGCCTGCAACCCTAAGTTATACCCGGAACGCATAGAATGAAAAAGACTGAGGCCTTAAGCAGATTTTTGTCGACATATTCTGCTATTATATATATATATATATATATATATATATATATATATATATCAAATAATTATTTAAACTCAAAACTTAAAGGGACAGGCAGTATCTTCAAAAAAATTCGGACAATAATCACATATAACAACTCGCCTAAGGCAATGACAGTCCTAAGCGCACACAGAGATAAAACAATTATTCAGCGCTATTTTCAAATACTAATAATCTTCTTATAGAAAATACAATTCTTCAGGTAAAAATAAGAATATTGATCTTTCGGTGAATAATTGTCGACATTAGTGAAATGCCAAATAGAACATATTCCAACCTCTGGATAGATCATCCAACGTCTTAGTGAGAAGAAAGTTGGTTTTCCTAAAACATAAATCTAAGAGTCATCAAATGAGAAAATTAGGATGTTCTCTACTCGACTAGAGTGTCACAAAAGTCATCTCCTGTTCTATGTGTATGATCTGTCACCTACCAAGCGAGAAGTTGACGTCCGATTCCTAGCAGATGCACTCCCAAACATCGTCTGGTCGATAGTGGACCAGTAAATGAAGGAAGGGTTAGGCGTGAGGTCGAGAACTGCACCTGGTAAAAAAAAACACCGCTGCTGAAACTTCAAAGCTGGAAGTCCTATTTTCTACTCGGAAAGCAAGAAATGATGACATAAAAGTGTGTAAGGGCAGTCACATTTAGTATTATCGTTAGACGGAACACTTTGTACTTGAAGAAAAACAGAAAGAAAGCTTGATTCAAGTTGAATGAACGCTACCTTCATATACCTGATAGATACTTTGGAAATAGTGACATAAAGAAGAATAAAACATTTTATGTGATAAGCAAGTACAATAAGTTAATATTATTTTATTTCTTTATAGCTCAACTGGATACAACCTAAAACAATTATGCATAGAAAGACGATATCGTCTGCATAATCGAGGTCGGTCGCCAGACAGAAGATCTACATAACCACCACTATACGTGTCCTTCAGAGGTGACACTAGAATGTCATCGACGGCAAAGTCAAAGAGAAATTGAGGCACTGGACAACTCTGCCTAACCCGCACTGTTGGTTGAGAACAGTGGTGACAGCTATTTGTTGCCCTCACTCTATCTGAGGTGTTTCTGTATAGGGCCTTCAGGATGTCAACAAACTTCCCAGGAATATCCATCTCTAAGAGACAGTTCCAGGGGACAGTTCTGTCCAACGAGTGGAAGGCAGTCCCAATATCAAGAAACAAAACGATTGTTGGGTTGCAATTCGTGTATTCTAGTAACTGAGGAAGGGTGAACACATGATCAATAAATCCACGACCTGAACGCAACCTAGCGAATCAGTTACTCGCGTGTTTTGCACAACCTGCGAAGTAAAACAGCAACCAATATTTTAGACGCGACTGGTAGCAAGCTAATAACCCTATTGATTGTCACACGTCTTCAATTTCCCCTAAACTCGAGTCACACTAACCACCATAACATTATTGTCATTAACAAAGTAAGTACATAAGAGAAACTACCAAAAACATATATGCATTTGCTTCAATTGTGTCATCTCTAAGTCTGTTAAAAAGAAGATGGATTGGCTTAGAGTATTATATATATATATATACATATATATATATATATATTTGATTGGACACCAGTTAGTAACTAGTGTAATACGTCTGATCCTTTGTTTGGCGCAGACTGAGTTCTATCAGTCAGGTTTGCGATTCGGTCACCATTATAGGTTCCTCACCATCACGATGCACATTGATTAGATGATATTAGATGGTTGAAGGCAATCAGCAGGAAGCTCAGTGGTAGCGTCTCTCATTGCAGCACTGGGTGACGCGGGTTCGACTCTCAGAGGGGAAATGAGTTCTTTCAAGGCTGCAGGTATGCCTTGCTGACTAGTGAATGCCAACTAGCATGAAACCTAGGTCCAAGGGTTCCTGCCAGTTGCCTCAAATCATCTGATATATATACATATATCACGTTGTCAGAAGAAGCAGTGAAGACAGGACTTTGAAGTAAACATGAAGAAGACGGAAACCATGGAGATAACTAACGAACTAACAACAACAAGCACCAATCACTATTAACGGGAGAAATTTGGAAGAGGTCACTTCTTGCTTCACCTATGTCAGCAGAATCGTTCCAATTACAGGTGGAACGGATAAAGATGACAAAGCCAGAATCCGAAAAGCAAGGCAGACCTTCAGCACCCTAACATCACTGTGGGAATCTTTTACACACAGTATAAGCAAAAATAATCCGGATTTTAACACTAATATCAAGCCAGTCAGTTCCATATTAGTTTGTTTATTAGGTATATCACACAGTGAAACAGTATTATTATTTACTGAAGGATGTTTCGAACAAAATTTATTCTTCATAATCATATCAATTGTGATCACACGACTTTGACACTTGAGTTTTATAGCTTTCTTTGTCCTCTCCTATTTGTCGTCATAGGGGTGGTAGAATTTTCCAGATATCTGGGACAGGTGTTGAATCATTCCTATTACACGTGTTTGCAGTTGATTCGATAAACAAAGCTTTCGATACCAACCTCTCCCTCCACCCTGCTGTTACATTAGATTCTAAAACTGTCATCCTATCCCATCCTATTGTATGGTTGTGTGTAACTGCATGTAGTGAGTGCTATAGCTGAACTATTCTCTACATTTCTTATTTTATTCGGGTCAACCAATCTAGATTTTGCTAGGTTTTATGTTTGGCTAGTCTGACTGCCCCTGTTCTACTATTTTGATCTATATATTTGACCTGACAATCATTCTAGCAGGGTATTAGATAAACTAAATTGTTTTGTTTTAAATGCTCTACAGGATCCTTTAGCCGACAAAGCTTGTTTCTAATTGAGTTTGTGGGTTTGAATGCCGTTTTTATTCCTGCCTTGTTGAGAATTCTGCGTAAGGCTTCCGAGGTTCCTTCCTTGTATGGAATTACTATTGATGATTTAGATTCTTTATTGCTGGTGTCGTCATTAATATCATTATTATTATTATCACTATCACTACTATCATTATTTATTTTATTTTTACATTTCCTTACATATTTCCTGACTAATTTATCCGGTTAATTATTAAGTTTCAAGGCTTCTTTTATGTGTCAGTTCCTGTTTTAGATTTTCTTTGGTACTACTTAATTTTTGTGCTCTGTCATTCAAACATTTCACCAATCCTATTTTTACTGACATAGGATGGGATGATTGGAAGTCCAAATATCTGTTTGAGTGTGTGGGTTTCCTGTAAACACTAGTGTTTAACTTCCCACCTTCTTTCCTCTTTACGTTGCAATCTAACATTGGGTGCTTTCCTTCCTGATTTTCCAATTTATAAGTGAATTGAATTGCTTCTACCACAGTGAATTGCTACTACCACAGTGCCCAAGTTTTACACATATTATTAAGCCAGTCAGTTCTTTTATAAGGTTAGTAGATTTAGCGTATTACTAAAAACATTTTGAACAATCTACTGAAGACTTTTATCAACAACAGCTTTAGCTCCATAGTGTGAAGATCAGACGGACGATCAGTAGGGTTTATCAACAGTGAACTCAAGCAGGTGGTGAACCAGCCAAGAACCTATTACTCCACAAATATGCCGAGGGAAATGCAGATGGATGCGACATACACTGAGAAGACTGTTGAGTGACATCGCGCACCAAACAGAACCTCCAGTGGAACCCTAATGGGAAACGACAAGTCGGGTGTCCGAGAGTGACGTGATGGAGATCGTGTGAAGAGGAGAGGCAAGTTTATGGACAATTGTGGAACCAGCTAAAGACGATTGTAGAGAGAACAGTGTGAAATGGAACCCAAGGGAATAATAATAATAAATATGTTACTGAGATGACTCTCGATATTTTGTTTATGGGAAAGACAGAAGAAAACTTGAATTATTGGTAAAAAAGAAAGGGAACAAAATTAACCAAAACTGAACTACCGCGCCTATAGCAATATATTTTAAGTAGACACCAACCAAGTCATGTGTCTTATAACTGAAAGATTTTCTTTTTCATAATATATACCTTAATTGTAGTTTCTTTATTGCATTTTATATTAATAGTAATAATAATGATACATATATACACACATACACACATACATATAAACGTTTCACATGTCTCCTACACGAAATCGTATCATTCCAAGTATGTACCTTAGCCATCCATATAAGTATATTGTTTCTGCATCTTACGACAGAGAGAGAGGGAGAGAGGGGGAGAGAAACACAGGAAAAACACGAAAGGAAGAAGGCGGAAGAAACAGATGTTTATGCTATATAGGTTGCATTCCAATTTACAACACCTGTTCAACAAATATCGACTAGTACTAATATTTACATATTTATTTATTTATCTCTATGTATTGATAAGATACATTGTTAGGGCATTGTTCATGACTTGTCTCAATATATAAGGAAACACACAGTTTTATTTGGCAAGAAGAAATATTTAGAATGTAACTTTTCTGGAGAATTTTGGATTAACTGCAATCGATTCGACTGTCGTCACGAATCAACACTACAGTTAGAGAGATCAATGAAAACCAGCAGAGAGTACTGGAAAGCTGTACTTTCCTAATTTGGGATTATTCAGCAATGCGCACCGACGATCCCACAAGGGTTCGAAACCAGGACCTTCAGGATACAAAACCAAGCTTGTCAATTGACACAGAGAATCACGGGTCATTATTGAATGCCGACTTAAGTAACTGAATGGTCAACCAGTCTGGTCTCATAACCTGAAGGTCCCGGGTTCGATCCTTAGAGAGGTCGTGGTTTCAGACTGATGAAGAGTCCCAAAGTAGGACGAAACAGTTGTTCAGTGCTCCCTGGTGATTTCTAATGACTTATCTAGCTAATATTGATTTGTGACAAAGACTTACTTTTTTAGTAAGTAGTATCGTTCGTGTCCCCTTTACACTGTTGCTATAGACCCATTCTCCAAATACACCGTACCACCCTTAACTGTTCCACTGATCTATTAACGCTTTTATCTTACCCCATATTTTTCCGCCTTCTTAATATTTGGCTGTGACTAGACTTTGACAGTTCTGTGTCGTTAGTTTTGTATCGACTAATGCAATTTATGAACAGAGCTTTTGACGGTACCATACTGTTGACTGTCAGAATTTCAACGTAGAACTTCGCACACAAGTGTATGAGCTCAAGTTTCCACACATGTATCATGCAAAGGTTCAGGAAAAAAATGTTCAAAAGAACCATGATGTGCAGAAAAGTACGGGATAAAGAGTAGTAACATGGAAAAGCACACGGATTTTGTGGAGTTAAGAGATTACAAAGGGTGAATGCATATGCACCAGTGACAACTGTTTTCCGCCATATTACCAACAGCATCCCGAAGACCCTAACCAGACAGACAGTCTATACTTCCATACATGAATAATTCAAATCAACTGTAGGAGAGTTCATGAATTGATGACAGGTTTTGATTTGAACACCCTTAACTCTAACATTGCTCGTTGAAGAAAGCCATGGTTCGTCACGTACAACAAGTGTCTTACGCATCTCAATCGATGTCGCTTCACAACACCGCCGACTGACTTATCTTCCTTACATAACACTCTACAGCTAACCCCAGTATTACTCACCACATCCTAAAAGTAACAATTCTAAATTTATAACCATATAAGTCGTTACTATCACATATGCAGCTCCTCCTCATCCCCCTGTACTCCATGAATTTATGCTTAAATCTACAGATCAACTATTTCAATTCCTTTATCATTCATTAGTTATGACACAGTTACATGAACAGATTATTATGTGCCAGGCTATGAACTACACACACACACACAATGTGTGAGTTCTGATGATCCTACGCAGCTGCCTAGATCAAAGGTGGTGCAAATGGACTTGAAACAGAGACGCGATAATTGAAAGATGAATGTATAAGCCATACACTTGATCCGATAGTTAACTATCGAACATATTCACAACTCTCTTAATGTCATTCGGTTTTTCCATATTAACATAGAAAAATTTCCCATTTAGACATTCAGAAAACAGAAAGATTGGGCGAAGAAATGTTTACTTTTCAATTAGATCCTCATCTCTGGCTCTACTCTACTACAAATAGCATTTTTATTACAATACACAACACTTTACCAAACAAGTGGTGATATGTTTGTTAACAATAATTAGTCAGTGTCAAAATGTCAATGGGTTGATAATTAACGAAAAAAATCAATACACATTTAAAAGGTAGAAATGGTTAAAATAAATCTAATTGAAAAGTAAATATTTCTTCGCTCAATCTTTGTTTTCCATATTAGTTTGCTTATTAGATGTGTCACAGAGTGAAACAGTATTGTTTACTGGATGACGTTTCGAACAAAATTTATTCTTCATAATCATATCAATTGCAATCACACGACTTTGAAACTTGAGTTTTACAGTTTTCTTTGTCCTCTCCTATTTGTCGTCGTAGGGGTAGTAGAATTTTCCAGATGTTGGACTGGACAGGTGTTGAATCATTCCTATTACACGTGTTTGCAGTTGATTCGATAAACAAAGCTTTCGATACCAACCTCTCCCTCCACCCTGCTGTTACATTAGATTCTAAAACTGTCATCCTATCCCATCCTATTGTGTGGTTGTGTGTAGTTGCATGTAGTGAGTGGTATAGCTGAACTAACTATTCTCCAGATTTCTTATCTGATTTGGGTCAACCAATCTAAATTTTGCTAGGTTTTTATAGTCTGCTAGTCTGATTGCCTCTGTTCTACTAGTTTGACCTATGTGTTTGACCTGACAATCATTTCAGGCAGGGTATTAGATAAACTAAATTGTTTTTTTATTGGCTCCACAGGATTGATCCTTTAACCGACAAAGCTTGTTCCTGATTGAGTTTGTGGGTGGTTTGAATGCCAGTTACTTTTATTCCTGCTTTGTTAAGAATTCTCCTCTTGGTTTCCGAGGTTCCTTTATATCAATTATAATCACACGACTTCGAAACTGGAGTTTTTTTTGAAGTCGTGTGGTTATAATTGATATGATTATGAACAATAAATTGTGTTCGAAACTTTGTCATCCAGTAAATAATACTGTTTCACTGTGTGATATATCTAATAAACAATCTAATATGGAATTATTTACTACCACAGTGCCCAAGTTTTACACACATAGTCATTCGGTTTTGTCTGTTTGTTTTTTTCAAGAAAATGAAACAATAAATAAACAATAAAAGCATTAATGAGTACTTACCATATCCACATTTCATCATATTCAATGGCATGAAAGTCGACTTCAAGATTTTCATCCTCTGATTCACACGAATTTGAATTCAGTTCAATCTTATTCTGTCTATTAACTAAAAGATCTTTAGTTAAAAAGGTGGTCAGTAGACCAGCACAACGACCAATAAGAAAATGTTCTTTTTTACTAAGATATTTATCTTTGTCAAGAGTATTCATAGAGAGTTGATGAAAAAGTTGTCCTAAGTAAATTATCACCGGTGGAATAAACAGGCGAGTTGATGTGCTGTTAGAAAATTTTTAAAACAAGAGGAGAACAAAATTAAATAAAGGCTATGCACTTATTTATACTGAACAAAATTCTGACAAGAAAAAAAACTGTTAACAAATATTACTCTATATTGACATACATTTGATTGTAACGGAATAACTGTTTGGAAAAGCCCTCTTCAACAATCTAATTACACTACTGATAGTCATTAAGATGTTTCAACTAACTTTGTAATCAGAAATGAATTGTTGAATGGTGACTAGCAGTGGAATCCAGGATGCACATTTCGTCCTATTTGGGACTTGCGGTCGACTGGATGTACCTGCATTCCCCAGTGGATGATGATTTTTACACCAAGGCTCGAATCCAGTGCCCATAGTTCAAACGCCAAAGGGTTATTCACTAGACCACTTGGACGACAAGAGCCACCTCTTGTGCAACTGCTAGTCACCATCCACAAATTCAATTCTAATTGTATGCCCAGACATCGTCGAAGCCGACATATCAACCTGACACCGAGCACTTCTGTCGAATCAATCGACCAGAAAATCTAAAATTCAGTTGAACAACTTTGTAATCATTATCCCCTTTTCTTCTAGACTGTATATCATTGTTCTGACATTTAAAAATCATCTGATGAGTCAATCCTTTAGTAGTTGTGTCGTGAGAGCTGTCTGCAAGACAAAATTGTAGACAACAACTGACGTCAATGTTTACGTCCCAAATTTCGGTCATGAGAAAAAAACAAGAACAAAGACTAACTCAAAAACCAATCACAGCAGACTTTGCGTGGGCGGATATGATTCGCAGATATATGGTCTGACCTTCAAATAAATGGCCACAAAGAGATGATAGATTAACTTTCAGCGAGAAAACAACCAATCAGAAGAAGCTATTTCTCTGCTAACAATAACGAATAATAATGTACATAAAAATATATAAATATCTGTTGATTTTCTCAATAAACGATCTGTTGCCTGGCCCTTGTCTTCTGTCATTGCAGTTGTCTTAATTCCTGTTTAATCTATCTAAATTTAACGCTTCTCTTTGTGGTTGTATAATGCCGTTGTTGTTGACAGTGTAATGTTTTACGATTGCAATTATATTTAAGTGACAGTCAAGGTCATCGTGCTCTTGGACAGTTTACGAGAAATGTTTGGTGTCTGATTCTTGCTTATCTCACCTTGTTGGGAATATTCAACTTAATTCTCACGTACTTCTTACGATTGACTTTTACTTAACTAGTTTTCGTTTACAGTACTTATTTTGTACTTCAGGACTAATTTGATCTGTATAGCAGCTGCCTAACGGCATTGTTGAGGTAATTTCGACTATCTGCTGATATGTTATTATTTTTAGGTAGTACCATAGATTTTATCTCAAATAACTGTCTCTTTGCTATTGCCAGGGTATTTTGTGACTGTGAATAACTCAAGAAAGTTTTGGTTGGCTATGTAGTAAAACGCAAAGTTCGGTTCCCCGCGTTCAGACTACAACACATCAGTTTTCGTCATTACAAAAACAACTCACTAATAATCAATAATAACTAAGGTGAATTTCATTTCTTGAAGTCTATTGTTGAATCGAACCTGTATTGATTTGATCTATATTCTCATATTACTCAGTAGTTGCATAATGAAACAAACTGAACCCGCTAATTAGAATGATGAAACTCAGTAAATTTAACTGCATACGAGTAATATTTGTCAGAAGTAATTATAAACCAGTCAACCATGGATTTATTCCACCCTCAAATCACTTTGATACCATCCTCTTATGACTAAAGTAGCCCATATCTACACAGCGCATCCATTTGATCTGGAGTTTCGGAAATATTTTACAAAATTTAACACCCTAAATAGTATAGTTATATGAAATCCATGTCATACGAGTAGTCTATGGTAGAGATGTCCTGTTTAGCTTGTCAGCTTCTGCAACCCCGAAGGAACTGGCGATCCAAAATTTTTATCACTCAGTGTTAAGACTTAAGATCACCATCTTTGTATTACTGATCATATACACAAACCTGTGGCACCGTCACGAGGTTAGCCTAGCGGTCAAAGTTCGGGTTAACAATACTCTTGTTCTATGCTTATGAAACCTAGTCTCCTCGAGTTGAGGACGTATGACAACTCTGCATATTTGATTATCGGCGCCTGTGTAGAATTATTTGCATGCGGTGGTGTCATCTTGTAATTAATTCCCGACTTCGGTGGAGATCTTCTTTCAAACAGGTATTGTAATTTTGAGATACCAGTTTCAGTGGTTTGGACATGTGCTACAAATGTCATATTAGTGAATTTCACTGTTTCTCAGCTCTAGAACCTCGTGTAAGATGTTAAGATATGGTCAGACCATGATCTGGCGCGGTGGGATGAAGGATAATTCTGTTAGGTTAACATATGTTGGTGCTTTACGACTTCATGGGTTGGCCTTCGAACGGTAATCTGGATCGCTGATTCGAGACACTATGAGATAATGCTGAGAATCATGATCAGTGGTGTACATGCTGCTGCTGAACGCTCCTTAAATACTTATGATGAGTATGCTTGCTTGTTTTCATGATTCCATCAAAACAAAGCATACAGACTGTATAAATGCTTTGCTCTCTTCATATGTAAACAGTAACGTAATTAACACATACTATAGACAGTGACCATTTCTTCCCATTGGTTGGTCAAGATTTATAACTCTTGTATTCCTCTTGAACTCCTACGTAATATCACATCTTCCTTCGTTTCTATGTGCATCCTGATTATAAAAACTCATTCAATAAACTATTTATCTCATTACGTAACTGTAACACTTTTATTCAACTACTCTTATATATTAATGAATATTAACAACTGTGAAAATGACAACTCTTCACTCCTGGGAAACAAAAATTGTACATAAAAATGATTGCGCAACTAAATAGGAAAACGGATTTACTGAAACATTTATTTTACTCTTCTAAAAATGCCACGATGGCGATTATTCATGAATTATTGAAAGTTTTGTCTTGCTTTACCGATTCTGCCTTCGACAATCCCATCTATGCCACTGCCTGTAGTTGAAATGATATTGCCCATATGAGTAAAAGGGGAAACAACCGTTAATTTCCTTCCGCTGATTGAGATTAATGCTTGCTGTTGATGTTGGTAGTGGTTAGGTGGTAACCTCATCACCTCTGTCTTCTCTACAGTTCACTTGAAGTTCTGTCTTCTACGAATTTATTGGTTTACGTGATACATTGGATATAGATCGCCTGCAAAGTGCAGATCGCCTAGAGTCTTTCTGTCGGTTCAACGTAGGTTTTTCTTCTCGCACCCTTCCCCACAGTCTGCCACACGATCCAGTCCACCACAATCAGGAATATCATCAAAGATAGTAGGCACAACAAAATCAGCAATCATCAGACTACATAAGATTAAGGTGTAACGACAGAAGATAAGAGGCCAGGCAACAGATCGTTCATTGAGAAAATCAACAGATATTTATAGATTTTTATGTACATTATTGTCAGCAGAGAAGCAATGTCTTCTGATTGGTTGTTTTCTCGCTGAAAGTTATTCTGTACTGCTTGTGACCGTTTCTCAGAAAGTTAAGCCATATATCTGCGAATCCTATTTGCACACGTTAGGTTTGCTGCGATTGGTCGGTGAGTTCCCCAAGGTTAAGAGGCTTTGTTATTGTTTTTCTCATGACCCTGATTGGGAACGTAACAAATTGACGTAAATTGCTGTCTACAATTTTTGGCTTGCAGCCAGCTCTCACCACAAAGGTAATTTAACTTTGATTTAATAATATATATATACTACTTAAATGAACCCGATTAATCAATGTCAAAAACAACCTACTCTATACTCCATTTTAAACGACAAGGTGCAAACAAATACAAGTCGAATGCACGAAGCCAATGACTAATATCATAAATGATATCTGTTGTTGTCGTTATTGTTGTATTGGACATCAATAAAAACTCTGATAATTGATCAAACCAAAGCTTGATTAAACGTTCTTGCATATCATCAGGTGGTGGCCATAAAAATGGCGAGTGCCCACTGACTTCTGAACATTTCAGTGAATAGTATTCAATATAGGTGAACAGTTCAAAAGCTGACAGGTTGATTAAGTTAATCCAATGAGAAATTTGATTGTTATTATTATGGTTATTAATATTGGATGAATTGGCTCTTGTTGAGGGAATTTTACTTACTATAATAACAACAACAAAAAACACAACAATAATAAAAAATAAAGCAATATAAACAGATAACTTAGCAAATTCCATGAATGACAATAAAAGCTGATTGGTAGAATTAGTAATTTATTGGATAAGAAACTGTTATTGACTGACAAAATAGAAACAGAATAAGATCTCAAGGGAATTTAAGCGAGATTGCAGTGTGCACATTCCCCTCTCTGTTTAGTTGAGTTGAAATTCAGTCATCCAGAACAGTTTTTACTTTTTCCAAACTATGGAGCCATACATTTGTTACATGAGGGTTAATGAAACCACCCACACTGAGGTACGTAGGTGGGACTGATGGACTGATTGAAATCCAACTGCTTAATTTAATGACAGATTGAGATTCAACGCAGAACTTTGCACGGAAAATCAACTCGCCACAACCTGTGTGGCACAAAAAGGTAGACAACAGTGAAGAAAAAAGATATTCAAAGAAATAGAATGACCAGAAGGAAGTGTGCGGGAGAAAGAACATGAAAAAGCATGAGGATTTAATGAATCTATGAGAGTGAATGCATCTGAACTATTGAGAACGACTTTAAGCTATATCACCAACAGTCTCAAGCGCCAACCATCAGCCCCAACGCGTTGATCTCTGATGAAATCTCAGTATGGATACAGAGGGATAGTTTCACATATGCCAGTTTATGCTGCCTCTGGCTTAGTAGACGTGATATGCGGCTATCGACCAAAGGGCAGGTGTACTGCTCAGCAGTCCACTCCATTCTCCTTTATAGCTGTCAGATCTGGCCATTAAGGGTGGAAGAAATGAAAAGATTAGCTGTCTTTGATCATACGTACCTGCGCTCTATCTCCTACGTGAAGTGGTATCGTAGGGTAAGCAATATTGAGGTTAGGCGTCGAGTGCATGGGGATAAAGAGTGGAAATCAATCGACGAGGCTGTGAAGCTACATCGACTGAGATGGTTAGGACATGTGCTACGTATGCCTAGTCATCATCTTCCTCGACTGGCAATGTTAGCTGACATAGGGTCAGGCTGGAAAAGAGCTAGTGGCGGTCGAACCAAAACATGGCTTCATCAGTCAATGAAATCTACAAGTTAGTTTAAGCCATGTAGGAAGGTGTAGACTTCCTAGTTGGGGTCCTCGGGACGGTAGACACCAATGGCTGGAAACAATTGGTGATATGGCTCAAAATCGTTCTCAATGGCTGGCGCAGATGCATCCACTCCTTGTGACTTATGATTTCAAATGAAACTATATCGTTCTTCGTTATTACTATTCTTTCGTCTCATACCTCTGTCTCTATTATGCATTTCTTCTACTTTCTTCTCTTGCATTATGTGCTACATGAAGTGTGGCGACTTGAACCACCGCATATCGATGCAAAGTTCCATGTCGAAAACAGACAGACAGTCAAGCGCCATTGATTCTTAGAACCCCAACTAGACGATCTATACTTACCTACCTGCCCTAAGCCAACTCCGTGGACTGATTCTAGCTTTTGATTCGACTACGCGTAACTCTTTTCCAATCCAACCCTATGTCACCTAGCATTGCTTGTCGAGGAAGCGAGTGGCTCAGTATGTATTCTAGGCATATAATCGATATAGCTTCACAACATCTTTATCTAACATTCTACACCTAACCTCAATATTGCTCACTACCACCACTTGAGACGACATATATGACGCAAACACCTATAGTTGAAGACAGCTAGTCTCTCACACTTTCAATGGTGATGTCCCATAGCCATAAAGAAGAACAGAGCGAACAGTCATACAGCCATACACACACCCCTTTGATTGATATACGGATATCACGCCTAGGCCACAAATGATACATAAGCTTATTGTATTCATGTTGAGATTTCGTCAGAAATCAATCCTTTAGAGTTGATGCAATTAACCAAAAATGTGAAGTGATCAACACACACACACACACACAGACCCACACACACACACACACACACACAACTACTTCATTTCCTGTCTTTAAAGGCTAGAAGTCAGTACAGACCAGTAGTCCTGTAGCCTCATTTTGCATTGAATAGGGATGAATCACATGCCAAACATATAACAAATTTTCTATTCAAAGTGTTCAAAAAAACTGTATTTTGTGAGTGTCTTCACCAACAAAGAGCAACATCGTCTGCAAACTGTGTATTGATGAGATTGTCCACCGGTAACAAATCATTCCTCCAAGTAGATTAGGGTTACAGGCTTAAGCCAACAGGCGACATCTCTATATCATATTTATTTATGGTTGAATGGGTCACAGGAAGTTGAACAACCTAAATACGCACAAATATACACTCCATTATTAGTTGACAGTCAAATCTCTAATCCAATTAGCGAAAGTCTCATATTGTATAAGTGGACTTTGAATTATTAATGCGATTTTCATCTTGGTGACTACGAGAAAATTGAATGTACGATATTAAAACTAGTATCCATCAATTTTTAAGTTCCACGTTGAAACCAGTAAGTCAGTCAGTCAGTCATTAATCATCAATTTACAAAACAAAATTCCAGATAATTTAGTGAACATGTACAACAACAGGAGTACTGATAAAATCTAGTGTAGTTATGGTGGGTACTAGGATAAAAAGAAAAGTGACTTCAAGTCGCTGAAATTAATCATTTCAATCGTTATCACACATACTGAAGGAGAGATAACAAGGTATTGACGTTAACTTTTAGAGAATAAGTACATTTTTGACAGAATTTAGCCCTAGTGGGTCATTTTTTTATTACAGCTTGATTCCACACCGTATTTTTTCGTACAGGTATGGAATTTTCAGCATGTGATATCGGTAGCCCAAATTTGCAGGCCAACCACAGATATCAGGTGTGTGTCGGCAAGGGATCGAACCCCGGACCATGTGCATGGTCGGCGAGAGAACAAACCACTGTGCCACCGACGCACATTGCATTCCAGTGGTTGAATGGTCGACCAGCTCGTCTTATAACCTGAATTTCCTGGTTTGAATTCCAAGCAGTGGCATTATAGGTGCACACTGATGAAGAGTCCCAGACAAGGACGAAACAGCTGGTTTTCAATGGTTCTTTAAATGAAGTCAATTCGTGTTCAAACTTGAAATTAAAGTGATGAGTTGCACCCACTACAGTCGAATATCCTACCAGGAAATCACTGAAAATAAGCATGTGTTTACTAAAAGTATATATATATATATATGAAGGTACATCTGAAAGCCTACTTAGGATTCTCAATAAAGCAGCAATTAGGATAGTATTTACACTTATAAATTTACTCAGGGGGGAGATCTGTAGACTAAGGGACCCCTATTGACATAGAGTAGATAAAATAATGTCATCTACATAGATCAGACCAGTAGACCGGAGGAATAGTTAGATTATCGCAGCATAAGAATTTAGGCTAAGCATAAAATGATTGACCACATGAAGGCGAATAGTTCATAGGGGAAACTCAGCAATCGCAATTGATGCAAACTAACACGTTATCTCACAACAGGATGGGACAAAGCTACAATTCTGAAAAGTAATAACAAGTAGGTTGAGGGGAGTGGTTGATTATTGAGTCTTTGTTCATCGAATCTACACCTGACACGTGCGAGGAGGAATGATGCAACACCAATGTAGGAGATATGGAAAATACTACTACAAATAAAACCAAAGGATAAGAAACATCTTCAGTAAATAATTCCGTATCATTTTGTGTGATTTTATCAAATAATTGTTTGCCCTATAATGGGATTATATTCTATCACACAGTACTCGGTGCTCGCCAACCACGCATGTGGTCCGGGTTCGATCCCGGGCCGACGCACTCCTTTACTTCGTTAATCCAGCAATAAGACTGGTAAAGAGAGAAGGCTGGACATGAGGCTACCAACCCCATTCGGTAAAAAACAAACACCATTGCTACCCAAACTTTAAGCCTCTAGCTTGAAGCCCTATGTTCCACTGGGCATGTAAAGGAATAAAATTTTTTTCTTAAAAGCACAGTGTCTAAGTTCCATTCTTATATCACAGAAAGAGACAGAGATGGGAGGGAAAGGCAGAGGAAGAGAAAGACTACCAATAATCAACGCACATACCATTATCAATATTCATTGAATCAATGATACTTTCATCAAGTGGATCACTTGTTTCTTCTTCCATTTCTGTTGTTGTTGTCGTTGGTGTTGTTATTGGAGAAGAATCACCACCAGCAATTGTCATTTGACGTCTTAATTGTTTATTTTTACGTTTACGTTCTTGTTTCAATTGTTTTCTAGATAAGAGATTCACTGATTTCTGTTGTCCATTGAAGGTATTTAAAAGGCGTAAATAATTCTCTGCTTGTTTACCCATACCTTTCTTGTGTTGTCGGTGTTGTTGTTGAGGTTGTTGTATCAATGATCTATCATTGTTGTTATTATTATTATCAGATAACTGCAATGGATACACAGCATAGAATTTCATTAGAAAACGTTCTAACGATGTGGATAGATCCGGTGATCTAAGGTACAGATTTTTCCAGGGGAAAACAAAACAAAAAACAACAACAAACAGGAAAATGTATAAAACAATCAATCAATCGATCGATAAATTGGATAACAACCGTTAGAGAAAAAAGAATCCTTATGCACAGTAATGTTAGTTGACAAAAAAAGAAAGTAATTGATCCAATGCTCACTAGCGGGTGCTCCTATTCAGCCAGTTAATCTGGGGTTCTAGTGCGAAGCTGTGACCAGTAGGGGCAGTAACTCATCGAAGAAGACATTGCGAAGTGGTCGCGCTATGTGATGAATTAGCAGAAGTTAGAATTCATGCACTGGCCTTTGGATCGGGTCCCAGTGGCTTAAAGATCTACGAGCTTGCCTTGTAACCAGAACGTCCTGCGTTCGAACCCCGGTAGATGCGTACTGATGAAGAGTCCCAACCTAGGACGAAACAGGTGGCTGTCCAGTAATCCATGCAGGTTGTCAGCTCATGATGAAGTCCTCCAACCAATCAAACAAAAAAATCCCTACAAAGCTAATACTTGAAAAAAGGAAGTATATATTTGTTTCACGTTAGACCACGGATTGATATCAGTTAGACAGCCATTGGAAACCAGGAGGGAGTACTGGACAGCCAGCTGTTTCCCCAGCCTAGTTTGGGATTCATCATCAGTACACACCCACCGCCAGGGTTCGAAACCAGGACCTTCAGGTTACAAGGCGAGTTAGTATACCATTTCATTTAATGAAATTATCTGACTATTCCACTGTCATATCATATACTAGAAGACATAATCAACAAAATAGTTAGCATCCGTTTTAATGGTAGATTTAGTACTAAATACCTTCCAATTACATTGATGTTTTATTTTATTTCTATGTGCTCCAAGTGGAACATAAGGTTTCACAAGCTATGAGCTGTGACGTTTCGCTGGCAGCAGTGTTATTCCTTGCTAGACGCACGCCCCACTTTACATCTTCATGCAACTCGACATAAATCCCAGTTATTGCTAGTCAGAATCAATGGATTATAAGAGGAATAGCGTGAAACAAGCAACACAAGTATCCCATGCATTTATTATCCTTCATGAATTTGAATAAAGCAGAAAAACAGTCGTTTTTGCAGTTGCGTAAAGTTTGGAGAGATTATTAAGTTTATGTCAGTTGACAGGAGACTTTAAACTTGATAAACAGTTTTCGGAAATTGCACTTATATAGTTTATACCCAGAAAGTTTAAACAAAAAATAAAGGCTTGGATATATAATGAAAAAAAAAACAGTTCAGTGAGTCGAACTCCGTCAAATTACAGAACCAAGAGACAAGCAACATTACGCTATGGTGAAGGGGGTAGAGGTTTAAGACAATGATTACGTGATTAAATGGAAGAGAGACAGAGAGAGAATAAAGATATCCAGTTGCTAGGGTATGGAAAGACTGATAAGTGTTCCTTTTCAGGAGTTTGATAGCGATTACTTCGGCAAATTTGAGGAGGATTGAACTGTTTTGTCTATCTGATAATTTTAGGGGATTTCACGATGTTCACCTCATCATGCCCCGTATCGACGATATGTTTGGCAATGGCATTACTGTAAGCATTTGTTCCTTTAAGACGTAGACTTTCTGGCACATGTTCAGAAAATCGAGGATGTATCCTTCTTCATGCTCTCCTAATGTAACTGCTAACAAGGATACATGTAAGTTTGTATACACAGTTACACTTAACATGAGAAGGGTATACTAAAAGGCGTGTTGTCCGATAAACGTGAACCAACTTAGTTGCAGGATAGGCTGGTTCTGGCTATTCAATCCACGGTTGACTATTTCCTACAATATTATCACTCTTAAGGTTGAGTTGGATGAAAATGGGCCTTTCTTTTCCCTTGTGATTTGTTCGACATTTATACATTTACATCTTCCATACTTCTTAACGATGTTTTGAAAGTAACAGTTGTTTTAGAACATTTTTTTGAAAATCAGAAATTCTTCCTCTAATTTCTTAGAAAATATTTTTGTGGCTGTGTACACCAGAGTTTTGACCAATGCTCGTTTATAGCTATTTGGACAAAAACTAACTATTGAAATTTAAGTAATCTCTATTCCATTTAGGCTTTCAGTGAATTGAACTCTGGAGTCTACCATCTTCGAGGCGTTGCTTGTATGGCAATGTTAAGGAAATGAAAGTTCTCATCACTTTCATTTTCCATAATGATGTCAATATTTTTATGTGAGGCACTGAATAGTCTGAGTAGGTATTGTTGCATACTACAAATGCGTCATTGACATGTCTAAAATAAGTTGCTTCATCGATTGCAGGCTTCAACAATGTTCTCTCAAACATGAAGATATCTTCTAATACAGAGCTTAGAGGACTACCCATAAATACACCATCTGTTTGACGATAAAGACTATTGTCAAACTAGAATCGTACATTCATGGTACACATTAGTAATAGGCTTTTAAATTCTGGCACAGAGAAAGAGGAGATGAAAATGCTGATGGACAATATCGTGTCATTAATTGGGATCTTTGTGCACATGGAGGTTGCACTAAATGACACCAAGAAACTTATTGGAAAAGTTCATGTGGTACATGCTTTTAGAGATATAAAATGAATCTTTTACAGTGCACACACCTAGCTGTTGACGAATGGGTTCCAACTTCTCTGCCTTCCAATTACACACATCTATAGTTGTGTTATAAATCCGGTCTTATGATCTTATATTATTTGTTATTCTTATCATTATTTTTATCATGCAAAAGGAATTTCAGATAATGATTAACGCAGCTGCCCATTATTTGAAATCTATAGGTCAAAGTTATTATAACAGAATAGTCCTAAAGGTGAATAATACAACAAGACATTGGTACACTTGTTTGCTGTTGCATGTTTCAAGTTAATCGGTGACAAGCTTTACATGGTACAGTTTCCATAATTATTGTCATTCATTCACGGCCTCCATAAATGACCTGGTACGGTCGCGGGTGGATAGACTTCAGTCTTCCTCTCAAAACGCTCTCACATATGACCACGCATTCATAGCTACTGCCAAGTCCTGTTTACTGCCTTCACGTGGCGGAGGGGATGTTCTCACAAAAGTGAAAAGGTAAATGCAAACATCTCGAGCTTTTAATCGGACTGGTGGATATCGAGGTCCCCACACCTAGGGGTGTTGGAAAACCCTGATTTCAAAACTATGGTGCACGTATATGGCATGTGCTACTGATAAGATTTATCAGTAGTATATAAAGAGACGTTCATCAGCATAAAAACATCAAATAGCAGCGAGATACATTGATGTCAAAGAAAGCAAATGATATAGTGTTGCGGAGATACATGAGAGACGTGAAAGGAACACAAAGAAACACAATATGAAGGAAGGGCAGAAGTAGCACAACACGGAAGATCCTTGGAAATTATGCGTTGAAGATAAGGTGTACATAATTTCGCTGCAGTAAGATACCGAATTGCGAACTAACATTCCTTTACGAAGTCTTTCATCTTCTACCGTTACACGTACGCTACAGAATCCTGAAGACTCGAATGGTTTATGAACCTGTTTTAATCACCAGAAACCATGGGGATGAAGCTTCTGACGCTGCTCCAGTGCTTTGTGGATAAGACTTGAAGTCAAAGACTTAGGGTAGGGTGGTCGTCTTTTAAGACAACCACCTACTTCGAGATTGGCGTCCGAGCAGTGCACCCCAACCCTCACACAAACTATGACACTTTATGCGACATGCCTCTTGGTGCCCACAATGTGCCAAGTTTGTGCTGTAATCATAATTAACAACAGTTTGTGAGATTCAGAGCTGTATCACTTGATACCATTCAAATTCAGATTTACACCAAACTATCCTACTGTACTTACTGAAAAAGGGCGATAACTCGAACTGCAACATTTTACATACATGTTTCAGCGAACAAAGGCATACCAGTACAGAATACTCTTTATATCACAGGATGACTTCAATATATCTTAAGAGAGATGATTAGAGGAAAGCTAACAAATACACATTTTTACTAGCACTGAATTCATCCCTACTAACAAAGTGGATGATAATAATAACAGTAATAATATTAATGACAATGAGTGAAATATGATGCACAAACTATTAAATAATTCAGTCTGCACCAAAGAAAGGACTAGGCACGTCACACTAGTTACTAGTGTCCAATCCAGATTTTTGTAGTGTTGTCGAAATCAAACGCATGAGAAATGTGCACACTACGTTTATTTCATCATGATTAGATATTTATCAGGTAGGAAGACAATCCTCCACATGAAGAAACTGCAAGTATCTCTTAAATAAATGTATTTATCAAGCAATGAATACGTGGCTGAAGTGCTTAACTTCAACCTAATGGGTTCAGGGTTTAAATCACCCTTCCCGTACTTCAACCTGGGCATCTGGGTAGCATAACCAGCCCCTCACGCAATCAATATGGCTCATAACTCGGTACCAGGTAGGTGGGTTCAAATTAACTAAGTACTACTAGTCCAAAGATATGAAGTAAAGTTGTCAAGTTAACTGAGTGCTAAATTTGTTTCGTTCATGGAGTAGCCATGTGGTCTACGCAGTGGTTTTAGACACCAGGCGGGAAGAGTATCGGTTTGAATTTAACCCTGACCAAAAGCTAATGTGAGTTGGCAGTTCAATGGTAGGGTCTTCAGTCTAACCATGCACTTGGTCTAGGGTCTGATCACCAGCAGACGAACTCTTAGACCTCGCTTATCCGGTAGCATGCGCCTCGAAAAGAGCGAAGGTTGGGCGTGACGCCAGTGGCCCCACCCCGTAAACAATAAACATCACTGCAACTGGAACTTTAACGATCAAGTTTAAAGCCGTGTACTCCACTTGGAACTCAAACAAATGAAACAATGAATAATGGATTTTTTCGAAGGTTTCATCAACTTTAACAGATTCGTTGCTAAGAAAATCTCTAGGTTCAGTCTTGTTTAACAATTGACAGATTGAGTTATCTTTGCCCACAGAGAGATATTTGGTTACCTATCAAAGGGTGAAGTGCATCGGTAGCTCAATGACAGAATGTTCCTCAGCTACGCAGGTGGTCAAGGTTCGATTCTCAACCGACGCACTTCTAAAATTCGCCTTGTTTCCTAACCGATAGTAAGCTCGGCAAAGAGGGAAGATGACTGTCGTATTAATAGCTCATCCACTTCTGTATTGATTAAGATAGCTAGGACACATGTTAAGCATGCGAAGTTATCGCTTTCCTCGTCGAGCGATGTTAGCCGGCACTGCATAGGATTAGATTAGAAATGAGTCAACAGTGGTCAGATAAAAACATAGTATCAGTCAGTTAAGTCTTTGACTACTAGTTTGAGTCAAGTGGAAGGTATAAAATACCTAGCTGGGATCGTCGGCACACTAAGAACCGATGACTGCAGACTGCTGGCGACAGTGGCTGAAAATCTTTGACAATGGCACAGATGGATTCACTCTTTATAGTCTCCCAGATCCATTAAATTCTCATTATTATTTATTTATTCTTTCTCTCGTACATTTCAGTTTATTGTGGTTTTTTACGTTGTTTTTCTCTGTCTTTACCTTCTCATACTTTTGTACAAAGCTGAGAATTTAGTCAAGTTTAACGCATATTGTACCTCATTTGAATGACAGACTGGATTTCAACATAGAAATTTACACACTACTACAGCAGTTCAACTCGTCACACTCCATGTAGCACACAAAGGTAGGGAAAAGAAAGCTCATAATAAGCGGAAATGTGGAGGAGAATGAATAGTCATGTAGAAAAACATAAGTGACTAATAGATATAAGAGATCACAAGCAGCGAATGCATCTCTGAGCCATACCACTAACAATTTTTAGTTATTGTGTTGTAAGCATCCGGTGGACCCTAGACAGACAGCCCACACCAACCTACCCGAATCAAAACCAACTATCAAAGTCTTTATGGACTGATTCTAGGTTTTGGTTTGGCCAACCCCCCTCCGTAAGCCTTTCCAATTCAACCCTATGCCAGCTAAAATTCCTCCTCCAGACTTGGCGATGGCTTGGCATTCACAACATGTGTCCTCGCCATCTGAATCGATATAGATTCACAACCTCATCGATTAACTTAGCCACCTTACCTAACACTCTAAGCTTAATCTCAGTATTACTCACCATATTGCACTGTTTAAGAAAATAGACAGAACCCACATATTTGTCATCAAAGACAACTAATCTCATAACTTCCACTTTCAATGACTATGTCTCAGAGTCATAAAGAAGGACAGAATGAACTGCTATCATTTTACATAGTCTGTAAGTAATTATTACAGTGTTAACTGGCAATGAAGAACAGTCCATCTACCTGTTTTTTTGTAAAATCTATAAATTTATACTCATATGGAGTTAATCAGGTATCTTCAATCAGATGTACAGGAAATAGGGATAATAAAACCTCAGCTGAATCAGCCCCAACAGGTTTATCGCTCACGAAATCTGAGTACAGATACAGAAGGCTTGTTTCGCATATGCCAACTTACGCCATCTCTGGCACAGACATGATATCCGGTTGGTTGTCGACCGAAGGACGTGTGTACTTCTCAGCAGTTCCCTCTGTCCTCCTTTATCGCTGTGAGCGAGACATGACCAATGAAAGTGGAAAATATGAAACGCCTGACTAGCTGTCTTTGAGTATAGGAGTCTGCGTTCTATCACCCGTGTGAAGTGGTATAATAGGGTGAGCAATATTGAGGTTAGGCAGTGGTTGATTGTTAGATAAGGAGGGGAAATCAGTCGACGAGACTGTGAAATTACATCGACTGAGATGGTTAGGACATGTGTTACGCATGCCTAATCTAGCCAAAGCCTTCCTTGATGGGCAGTGTTAGTCACTGACATACGATCAAGTTGGTAAAGTGCTAGTGGTGGCTTCATCAGTCAATGAAATCCATAACAGTTAGTTTAAGCCAGCCAGTCACGTAGGGTGGTGTAGACTGGCTTCTGGGTTGTGGTCCCCGGGATGGTAAGAACCAATGAAGGCTGGAGACAATTGGTGATATGGCTCAAAATCCTCGCTCTGGATGATGGGCTCAGATGCATTCACTGCTAGTGATTTATCATATCTAATAAAATTCTATTGTTTTCCCATATTACTATTCTTTTTGCCTCATATTTCTGTTTATTATCCCTCTCTCTTTTGAATCTGTTTACTTTCTTGTCTTGCTTTGTGTGCTACAAGGAGGGACTCTTCGCTTGTGTTTGCATGCTACATTGAGGGAGTGTGGTAACTAGAACTGCTGCATATCTGTGCAAAGTTCTACGTTGAAACCAGTCAGTCAGTCCATGAAAACCTCAGTAAGGTGGAAACAATGAAAATCTATTATGGTTTCCAGGTATGACAGCTTACAACAATCTTGTCTGTCGACTTACAAGTTAACTATTTCCTTTTTGCTGTTAAACATGAGCAGACCAGAGCAAATGTCGATTGGTTACTTAGTTTGTACCGAGTAGGGTTGCTAACCTGATGCCCTATTCAATATTTCCGGGCTTACCATGAGCTAGTAAACTAGGCAAGGTTTAGGAATTCGTCAGCCGGGAATACAACCGTGATCTCCTGTTTGGCTTAGCTGGTTGGCATTCTACCATTGTGTGTTTTTTAAATGTTTAATTTAAGGTTATATAGCCCACTAAGAAAAAAAGTCAGTAACAAGAATAATACAATTACCCAATCAACTCACATATTGTTTATATCTGATTTCCAACCTGAATGATTGTTTTTTACACTGGAATATGAGGTGAAAAAATCAACTGATTTTGTTTCAAAGAGAACACGTAAACCACGAAGAAAATAGTATAAACTGCTCAAAATTTCTTCACTTGGATGTTCTGTTAATTCTACAATCAAAGGAGAAATGAAAAAAAACATTGAATGAAGGTGAAAATTATCAATAATTTAAATGAAATTTTTTCAACTTAAACAGTGACTACTAATCAACCAGCAATCGAATTTCAAACCAAGTGGTCCTTAGTTCGAGTTCTCAACCCACCTAAACCAGCCTGGGCAACTGAATAGTGTATCATCAGCCCTTAAGAAATAAATGTGGCCTTTAGCCTGCCACGTTAAAATAAAATCTGTTTCAGGTGAGTGGATTTTGACTGTCAACCAGCATAGAGTGAACAGCCAGTGAGAATAATACATAGAATACCCAATTTAATATTTTCTAGTAAAAAATACCATCTAATGAAAAGAATATCATAACCAGTAATATTTATAAAAACAACTGAGCTTTCCAAGTGTTGCTTTGAAGAGATCGGGGACTAACATCAGTTAGAGGACCAGCGATTATTAGATAGTCATTTCGTCCCGGCTTGGGACTCATTGGTAGTACGCACCGACGACCCCGTCGGGGGTCGAACCCAGGATCTTCAGGCTACAAGGCATACCTGTTGGCTATTCAGCCACTGGGATGGAATCTAATGGCCAATGAACTCTAACTTCTGTCAGTTCATGATATATAACGCTAAGCCTAGCCAATATCATCAGAGAGTGGTTGTCCTGTTACTCGACTTAGTGAATCCCACTGATTATGACATTTCATCAGAACTCCAGGAACGAAATCCCATAGTAAGTCATTAATGAGCAGTAGATTGATTTTTAAGGGTTGGTTAGCATTAAATTTAATTGATTTCAAGTAAGATGACGAATTGACATCAGTCATATCTGATAACGTCTCGAGTCAGTGATTCGAATTATCTTTCGGACCCCCACTGGGGAGTCCTTAATGTACCAGTGGGTACTAACTTAACACAGATTGTCTTCATCTTACGGCAGCATTTCACAGGCTGACCATTTATCCGCATTTTTTCCATCTACTCTGAGGGTTAACGACGAGTGAGCGGTATAGGAGCTGGTGAGATGAAAATTTGAAGCATATGTATTAGCCATTTAAGCCAGTGTTCCAAGAAGACAACACTTATTGAGAGACGATTCCCACCGTATGCAGACACACTGCTGGACCTCAGAGTTACTTACATGATAGTGCCATCAGATACAATCAGTTCTAGAAAGGCAGTGGTGATCGAATATGCAGATTTGCCGCACATCCTAAGCTCGGAGATGCTAAGTTTCACAAGAGTATAGCAAGACAGCAAGCACCAAAGCATTTCAAACCTGATACTTGACAGCCAAGCTGACGTCGCAACAGCGCCAGAGGTGGCATATGACACCCTAGCTTCCACTGTACGGTAAGGGATGTCACCCGTCACATCTCCGCAAGCATTCACAAAAACTACCTAAATACACGAATTTTTCGACAACTTCAAGTAGTTTATCTGCATACTTGAGGACAAAAAATATTTCTCCAGGTAACAGATCTACACCACTACCACCACCACCACGCATGTCCTTCATCGACAGCAAGGCTAAATAGAAATGAAGAAAATGGGCAACCTTGTCAAACCCCTCTGTTGTCTGAGAATAGTGGTGACAGCCAGTGGTTGTATACCCCCACCCTATTTGACGTGTTTCTGGTATGAAAAAAAACATAATCTTGATGCACTGAACAGATTACCTGAATATAAAAGACTTAACGTCCTTAAATATGCGATAACCAGGCAATCTTCCCCAAGATTTTTGAGAAGTGATGCTATAAATATATATTGAACGCAAAAGTTTTAGTTCAATTTCAGTTTTTATGAGATTTTTTTCCTTCACATTCCCAGTGGAACATAGGGCTTCAAGCTAAAGGCTCGAAGTTTCTGCGGCAGTGTTTATTCTTACAGGATAGGGTAGCTAGCCTCATGTCCAACCTTTCCTCTTTATCAGCTTTATTACTGGCTTAGCGAGGTAAAGGAGGGCGTCGGTGGCCGGGAATTGAACCCTGGACCATGTGCATGGTCGACGAGCGTCCTAACCGCTGTGCCACCGATGCATTTTTATTAAACGAGTTACTTAATTTACAACGATAAAACAAAATAATCAGGAAATGAATTGGTTATTTCACATCAGAAACACTTAAAATGAAGTAAAAGAAATGAATCCACGCATACAACTCAAACCTTTGCAAGTTTCATTCATAAAATGTAAAATATAAATCCAATAAAAAAAATATACATATCAACTAACCATCTAATAAGATTAATCCTTCTTCGATCAAACCATGTCCCAAAACCTGATCATCATAGTCTTCTTGACACCACATTTGAGTACCACCAATGGAATCATTTTTAAGCATATCTACTTCTATAGAGTTCTTCCGAGAATTCTCAGATCGCTTGATGGAAACATTCTCATTATTTACAGTCATATTCTTTGGGAACATCAATGATTGTTTAACAATACCAAATAAACCATAATTTAAATTATATGATACCGGATGGAAGTCGATTAATTCTTTGAGGTAATAACCTTTAAAAGTCACATAACATTGAGTACTTCTTTGATGCCCAAAGTACGGGAGAGAATATAACCATGGATGATTGCCTTGAGAGTAGCTCAATGAAGAAGTATATTGATTGTCTTTGAGATAAACCATACTAGCCTGAACTAAGTCTGCACGACTTTTCGACAGAACCTTGAAGGTACGCTGTAAAAAAAACCAAAAAAAAGCAAAACTAAATGACATAAAGGTGACAGAAAAACTTTCTAACAGAAATTATTATTAATCTCCGAACAGTCATTCGTATTATTTTCACGTGAAAACTTAGGCTACTTATGAGTAGCGCGATTATTTCTACATAAAATTTGGGCAGGTCACTTGGCTAGTAAACTTGATGATAGGACATTTAGTTGAGGAAAACAGTACAGACATGATTGATCAAAATGGTCAACATGGTTACATCAAATCAATCTACAGAGCGTGATAATTTACATTTAAAAATATGGACCTAAAACCACTTTACTTACATTAATCCATGATATTATCTTTACATTAGTGTGACACAACGATAGAAACTTCTCTGAAATCAATACCTTACATCATATTTTTCTCCATCTACAGATAGCAAAACTAATCGAAAGAACATCTATTTGGGTAAGGTTCTTAAGTAAAGTATTAAATTTGGATACCGATATACAAGATAAATGAAAAGTTATTCATGTCCCTAGTTGGAAATTGTCGATGAGCTAAGACAGAAAGGTAGAGGACATAAGAACATTGGAAACAGTTTCTACCGACGAAATAACACAATATTCCATGGTTGGTTAGCGCCTATCTGTCTAACAGAACGAAGGTTAAAAATATCATGCAACTACGAGGCTTGAGAAGTTATCACGTATAGCAAATATTTTGCAGTTCCCTACACTCCTATCTTTCTCAAAGTAATACGAAGTGATAGATCCCGTAAACGAACCCCTTGGATTCCTGATAAATACATTTCCTTCATATCTCCATTATTTCTTCACATATTGAGGACCTACTGTTGTCATGAGTGCCACTTATAACAGTAGATATAAATAGTTTATAGTGTGACTTTCTTCGAGAAAGCTGTGGTCAATTATATAAACCTGGAATGCTATTGTAAAAGAAACGTAGAACAGAAGAATGCTAATCTAACGAGAATCAGACAAGCAACAGAATATGGCTGACATTATTTGCAAAGCGTTTATTGGATGCAAGATTTGTGAATTTACCAAAGCTCATTGAAATTCCTCCGGACAAACATTACGCTACTCACACCAGCCCTAATCTCTGTAGTGTAACTTTCAGTGTCAATAGCTTTTACACCTGTGTTTTGCATACAAACAAATTATTCAGCAGACTTGTCTAATTACACCTAATGATCTACTGGTCAATAACATTAGAGCTGATAATATAAGATCCAGAAGAAAATATACAGTTAAAAAAAATGCAAGTGGTCACCTTCAAAAATCCTTACCAGTATATAAATTAACATAATGAAATTTAATTATTTTTCTTTAAAGAAGAAGACGTACATTTTGCTTTAAATTACTGTAGCATTGGATTAAAAGATGACAATAAGCTCGAAAACGGATAAACTGTTGAACTGAATCAAAAACACCTGAGTAAACAGCCTTTGTCCGATTAGATCCATTATACAACTGGCTCATTGTTGTCACTAATCGACAATGCAAGCCAAATACATAACTGGCCAGCTGACAGCCAAAAAATTTCCAAACATGTTCAGTTCTTTGTAAGAGGTAAATAATTACTTGATCTAATTCATATATTATATCGGATATTTTTGGATGTGTAGACGCAATCTATAATGTAGAAAGTTTTACACTTTGGAATGAGAATAGTTGATTAAGCGGAGATTCAAAAAATATAATCATATAACATATACAATTCAAAAAAGATTTTGGACCCTATATTTTCGTTGAGGCTCAATTACCCGGAACAAATTTATCATGCACGAGGCTAAGAGCCGCACTTGTCGTATGAAGACTGGCGACACTATCCATTTTCCTACACTGAAGCAGGTGGAGTGGGACTCGAGCCCGTAACCCATCGGCTTAAAACTGAGCGCTTAAACCACTGAGTAAAATCTCCACAAACCCTTTGTTTACTAACACCCAGTGAGGATGAACATGACCTATTAACCTTTCAGTCGAAGGATTTAACCTACATCACATAATAGAACGTCATTATCTGCATTGAAAATTGGAAATTCCCTAATGATGAGAAAAGACTTTTGGATCAATATTCATGTACTAAACTACAGATAGTTTTTATTATTTCTGATACGCTTTTATCAAACTCATAAATGTTTACGCCTTTATCGTGTAGTTCGATTAACGCATAATATCATCAATAAAAGCTATTAGTTGATTACCTCTTTAACCCCTCCTCTAAAGAGTTCCAGGGTTAGAAACTAGTGAACGTTATGGAAGCTTTTGGAACAGCATTAATAAAGCATGTTTAATAATCAAATCATTTATTTCAAGACATTCTTTAACGAACCTGAGAACTACTCATATAGTCCCATCGAATGCAAGCAATATTGCTTCAACAATAACGATCAAACACACAGTAACCGGATATCTTCACAGTCATTTCTACCCAATGAGTTATCATTTCTAAGTGCATCCTCTTATTTATCTAATCTGGTGCGGGATTCTTTCGGTTTATCTCTCAGGGCGGAAACAGCAGGCTTTACACAAACCAAAGTATTGTGGGTCTAAACTCTGACAACCACACAAACATAACGATGATGCCAGATGACTGGTTAAAATAAGCTCACATGACTTTCTCTGTACTACTGGAAATATCGCTCATCACATTTCTGCCAGTACTTAAACGACTACCCATGCAAACCAACTTTTCGACCTATAATAAAGTTCAACACAACCACAATTGTGACTGAGTAAGAAGTAGGGAGAAATAGGAGAAATTTGGAAAGCATCTCTTTTACTGAAACTTTCAGTCGACACACAAACTTCCCTGAGGATTCAATATACTAGTTGCATATGAAACAAACGTAGAACATATTCTGACGTAATACATCTTTTAAACTCACCTGAACAATTTTAATAAATAATTGACGAATCTCACCACAAAAACGAGGATCGTCAACTCGTTTACAAAATCGACCAAGCATAAATATTAAATTTCCCAGTTGAATATTACAGCCTAAATTTGAACTGATGCCCAACAGTTTCTGATGTCCATCAATCACTTTTTCAATAAAATTACTAGATACAGTAAGAACATTCCTATCCAAAAATGGGAGTGCGTTTAACTGTTTTGTCAAAGGATCCAATAGGCGATTGAGAGTACGCAAAGATGAATGCTGAAGAGCACTATCTTCAATGTTTAGTGAATGAATGCAATTGTCAAATGTCTGGATATCTGTTTTGTCACCTTCTGTCTAAAATACTCCCTTAGATATGATTATTGTTAAACAGGAGTACCTTTTTAAATTCTCGTTCTTTAGGTAGGATTATTCTTTTTTTACTCAAATTTATCACTGTCTCATTTTGACTCTTTAACTTTCTTCCAAGTTTAACTTTAACTTTTTGAAAATCCTTTTTCTTTTTCGACATATCCTTAAATGCAAAGAGAATTATACAATAGTATTAAATAAATTATTGAAAGCAGTTCTATGCAATACAGTATAAAAGTGTGAAACTTATCAAGGAAATGAAATACTCAACTCTTAGTTACGGTGTCAGATTTGACAGTAAATTTTTATTTTTGGGTGGAACGAAATAGTAATATTGTGAATACGTTGAGTTGACAAGAAGACTCTAGAAGATTTGGACTTCATGGACAATTTATGTCTAATGTCACGTTAACTCGAAAATCTACTGGCGAAAACCAACAAGCTGGTAGAATAAACAGCGAAAACACGAGTTCAGGTGAACATAGAGAAGACAGAGGTGATGAAAATACCTAACTAACAACAGTAAACATCAGTCGTCATCAACGTGTGAAATTTAAATGAAGTTATCTCCACTTATTTATGCAGCATTGTCTCAACTATAGGCTGAATGGATGAAGGCGGGACCGAAAAGACACTACAGACCTTCAGTAATCTGAAGTCGGTGTGGAAATATACTGCACTAAGTATAAAAAACCAGATTCAGATTTTCAACAGTAATACCAGTCAATTCAGTTTTTCAATATGGTTCAGGAAATTCGTGTGTCACAAGAAGCATATCGAACACCCTGCTGCAGGTTTTTATCAACACCTGCCTTCGATCTGTACTTTATCAGGTGGCCAGAAATAATAAGGGGCTCCAGCAACGAACTGACCAATAAGCTATCGCCGAAGAAAATGGAGATGGCTTGGAAATACGCGCTGAGGAAACCGTTGAGTGACATCAAGTGCCAGGTGAACATTTGACCGGAATCCCGAGTTGGGTGTGGATCCCAGTGTGAAATGGAGATGGTGTGAAGAGATAGGCGATTACGAATCATCGTGGAACCAAGTAGAGACTGGATGAAATCGAGATACGTTCCACTCGGAAGTGAATAATAATAATATCTTGAATCCACACGAAATACAAATTTGCACACAAAACAGTCAATAAACTATATAATTCGAATATTAGTGAGAATAAGATGTTTGATAGAAGGTGACTTTGCCACCCTGAATCGAAGACCACAAAAAATGTTAGGTATTTATCAGTTATACAAGTCTAGACCACAAGCAATCAACACGGAATATCTACTTTAGTTGTATGTTACACGAAAAATAACATTTCAACAAGTAGCTTCAGTTTTTATATCATGAGCATCTAGTAGCTATTCGTCCGTCATCAATGAATTAGACAGATGCCTCCCAGGTATGCAATGTTGTAGAGATACAATCCTGATATAATGTTTACAATGCGTTATGCTTAACTGCTACCAAGACACAGAAGGGTGACAAAAGTTATGTAGATAAGCCAGAGGAAGAAATATTTCGTAAAGTAATGACATTATGAAGAAAGCTAAAGTATCAAAACCAAAGTCAAGGTCTCCCAAAAGTTGACCTTCAAGAGCCGACAAGACACAGGGAACGTTATGAAAAGTCATTTTAAATCGCATCATGCCTGCCATTTTGGACTTGGAGAAGGTAGATACACTATTCCATTCATTCCTCAGATACTTTTTTGTCAATCTATACTACTAGGTAGGGTGACGGCTCTTCAGATTAATTTTCTATAGTTTGGTTTGTAAGGATTGGTTATGTTTTACGAGTTGATCACGGACTGATATCAGTTAGAGAACCATTGAAAACCAAGGAGTACTGGACAGCTGCTGTTTCATACTAGTTTGGGAATCATCGACAGTACGCACCCACTGGGATTCGAACCCAGGACCTTCCGGTTACAAGGCAAGCTCGTATGCCATTCAGCCACTGGGACCCGATTCAATGGTTCATGAATTCTAACTTCTACCAATTCGTGATTTTAGCGCGACCCCAACTATTGTCGTTGGTGGGACATCCATCCATACACGAGACTTCCAATTGGACCTCACTGGTCACGACTTCTCACTAGAGCTCCAGGAAACTCCAACCTGTAGCAAGTCACTAGCGAGCATCAGATTGAGGTTTAGGGTCTAGGGTTAAAGTTAGGATCAGACGTTTTGATTATGACTAGAATTAAGAGTAGGTTGAAGAATAGTGTCATAAATACCAATGGATCTCAGAGTACTATGACCTACAGTCACTTGGATGAATAGGTATATCGCACATGGTACGATCTCTCTATAGATCATCTGTATATTGACTGTGAGACATGCTTACAACACATAAGCTACAACTATACAGTGTAATATTAAGTTTGCAATATTTTTTAGTGTATTTTCCAACGATTAAGCGACTTTTTTCATGGATTCTGATTGGTTGTTCAGGGTTACTGTGGTTTTGGCTGTGATAGTTTAACTTTGCCTATAATTTTTGAGTTGTTACTATCAAGTTACAGCATCCCAATGGAGGTTATAACCTCCTCGAAAGGCTACATATTTTAATTTTTTATGAATAATCACCCAGAAAACATCGCAACTCTCACCAAAACACGTATATACATATCACTATTTGTTTGGAATGCACATATATATATATATATATCCTCAGCATGAAACTACGAAAGGATTGATACCAAGTTTCTTTTTGAAAAATGACATATACATATTATTCGTGAAGCATTTCTCCACATGATACGTGATACAAATGATATAATTTTAAAGTAGTATGCTGTACTCACTCAACACAACGGTAGCACCAAGTTTAAGATAACCGCAAACTAACTTCCAATATTCAATATCCTGATTACGAGCTAGTATAAACCAGTGATTTCTTTGAGCTCGCTTCTTGATTGTAAGGTAGAGGTTCCAGATCTTCGGTGAACTTATGCGTAGTAAGTCCCGCAACTCGACTGCTTTAGCGCTGGTAGACTCCAAGAGGAGTGGTGCGAGGATTGGCCAAGATGTGGTTTGTAGTGTGCAGTATGTTAGGACTGAGTTGCTGCAGTGAATGGAGTTTGACGTAACACCCGTTGGTCATTCGGTGTAGTCATAAAAGCAGAATAGTCATAATAATAATATGTTGTAGTGTAGATAATATAGGTTGAGATAAGTGAAATATAAAAGTGAAATAATAAAGGTGACCGAAGGAAAAGATAGAGTAGTCGGTACAGTGAGAGAAGACAGAACGGGTCGTGGGGATTTAGCTTGTATGCTTATCCATTGACAGTGTGGTTTCAAATTTTAAGAGGATAAGCCATTGAGACACAAACCATGCATTTCTGCATGATTGCCCAGCTTACGCTTAAAAGTCTCCACAGATGGCGCTGTAGTCACGGCCGCCGGTAAAGCATTCCAGAGACGGCAAACTCGAAGCGAAAAGAAATGTGAACGCACTCGAGTCCTTGGTCTCTGGTGTGCTATCCTTAGCGGGTTACCTCGTGGAAACCTATAATCACTTAATGGCGGGATACTTTTATTTGGGTGGGCCTGGTCATTTAAGATCTTATAGACGGTGATGAGGTCTCCCCTGTGACTACGGTAACTAAGTGTGAAAAGACTTAATTTCTTCAGTGTTTCCTCATATGATTTGTTGCGGAGGCCGATCACTTCGATATCCAATATCTTTCCGATGACTATAAATAGACCTGATGACTTTGAAGCGCTTACCTCTTGTTGTTTCTCAGTAGGTCTGGGTCTTTTACATGGATTTCGGTGCAACCTATCACCCCACTACTCTGGCTCTTTTGAATGCTATAAGAAGATTATCTTAGTTTGCTTTAAATGATTTGTGTGATTTCAACAAGGATACCAGATTTCGTTTTTCCATGCGACTTGGTAAAAATAGGTTGGGTAGATGAAATTAGTATGACATTGCGAGAGGATTGGGTGTAAGATAAGCACGACTGTGGGACTTCATAAATAAAAACATAAATGAAAGGAGGGAAGGAGACTAGAAAGCATAGAAGAAATGGTCAAAATTAAGATAAAGCATACATATACATTAGTTAGGATAGTTTGAATATCTATGGTACCACTAAACTCCTGAGAGCTAGCCTATTTCTACAGATGCACTGGCTCCTACTGTTTCTGCGATAGGGTCTAGCCTTCTCTTGAAGTTATCGATTCATGGAGCAGTCACACGTGGACACCACAAAGGCTTTTCGTAATATATCTTGGATTAGGTGCACATGGCTATGCACTATTTTGTATGACATGGTGAGATTGCCTCTAGTTCACAGTAGCTAGGTGTATGCATATCCAGCTGTTGTAATCAGCTATCAAGCGTTCGACGTTTCTATTTTAAAGACAGTTTTGGTGACCAGTGTGTACTCTTCCTAAGAGATTCTCACATTTTATTGGTGGCGATGCAGTGGCTTATTGTGCAGTTGCATAAAGTGCCCCGGATTAAGTTTTGATTTCTCACTACGCACGATGTAGATTGCTGAAATGTCTTTGGTACAGCCACTCGTACTGTTTGCAAATACGTCTAATAAAAATTCCATAAGTATCCCGAATTCTCATCTTGTCCTAGTGCGGAAGGGGTAAGTTCCAAATAGGCGGCACGAATAACTTTGTTCTTCCAATTTATGAATGATATCGATTGAGATTTGTTAATTTTGTAAACTAAACCGTTTTCCGTGTCCTGATTCCATGCTTCTCACTGCCCTCTAAAGCTTCACATTATCCAAATGTTGAGGTGATGGGAAGCTTAAGGTGTTAGGGAGACCATCAATAAGGATCAGTAATAGCAAAGGATCTGCAATTATTTCCAACGACAGCTAAGTATTTGTCGTTTTCGACGTACAGCATATTCTCTGCCTTTCAGGAAAACCCCATTGCAATCTAGTGGTGTGTTATCGAATTCAATTGTGGGATTTTTTCTAGGAATTCCTGTGACACCAAGTCGAATGGTGTAGCGTGGTCTACGCGCAAGATATTGACTGGTCTCATCATACTGTACAATTGTTCCGGGCTGTCACAAGATCGATGTTTCGGGACCACTACTTCGTGTAGACCTAAAGTACTAGATGGTAAGAGTCTATCAGTATATATCCGATCACTCTTCAAAAAGTGTGGTGTGTGGAGCCAATTTAGTGCTGTTAAAGAGAGTTAAAGTCTCAGGATTTTTAAGTGCATTAATGCAATTAACTGTTACCTCTGTCTACCTACAATTAAGATTATTCTGATGGTCATGGAATCCTCTCTATGTCTCTCTTGTCAACTGATACTTAGCTGATTTTCCAATTCGTACTTTTCACAAGACAGATTGCGAGTTGATATATATATATATTGTAGCCTCCAAATGTTCCAAACTGAAAGTCTTTATTAGGAAGAAGTGATCTAGCCGACTATTTTCTTGCCTATAGTATTTTGCATACAGACTCTGAGTCATTGCTGCCCGGACACCTTTAGCTGTGGAAAGTTAAACTATCACAGTCAAAACCACAGTAACCCTGAACAGCCAATCAGAATCCATGAAAAAAGTCGCTTAATCGTTGGAAAATACACTAAAAAATATTGCAAACTTAATATTACACTGTATAGTTGTAGCTTATGTGTTGTAAGCATGTCTCACAGTCAATATACAGATGATCTATAGAGAGATCGTACCATGTGCGATATACCTATTCATCCAAGTGACTGTAGGTCATAGTACTCTGAGATCCATTGGTATTTATGACACTATTCTTCAACCTACTCTTAATTCTAGTCATAATCAAAACGTCTGATCCTAACTTTAACCCTAGACCCTAAACCTTGATCTGAAGAGCCTTCACCCTACCTAACAGTATGGATTGACAAAAAAGTATCTGAGGAATGAATGGAATAGTGTATCTACCTTCTCCAAGTCCAAAATGGCAGGCATGATGCGATTTAAAATGACTTTTCATAACTTTCCCTGTGTCTTGTCGGCTCTTGAAGGTCAACTTTTGGGAGACCTTGACTTTGGTTTTGATACTTTGACTTCACCCTTTTATTTGTTTACTGTAGATAAGCATGGAGTTTGTTGTAAGCTAATGAACATACTTTTTATTTTTATTTTTGTCTACTTATGTGGTTATGAATTTTGTCAAATGGTCTACTCTGTTCACTGATAATTTGTTGATTGCGGTATTAGAACTGTTTCCGTCAGGATGCTCAGGGATAGCAATACACAGACGCGAAACCCAATGTCACAAGCTCTTCTTCTCACTGCTGATATCCTTCCCATGTTTCTTAATCGTCCTATGCCAACTAGCTTGTCTTTTTTATTTCTCGCGTTTCTGCCCTCAGCTTTTAAGGGACTGGTTTTACGTTTAACATGTTACACCGTATCTGACTTATTGAACACAATGTGTCCAGAAACTCACTGCATCGGTGCACTGCCTAAGCTGCAAGTACTGATGACAGAAAGCGAATAATAAAAATGAAAAATGCCTCGCTACTTATTAGTGTGCTCTGACTTGAAATATATTACGTAGAACGAAAGGTTAAGTTTATTTAAGAGAAGGGCTTGGGAACTCAGATGGTAGCTGTTGCCGAACTACTCGCTCTGAAGATGTGCACAATTAATCCTACAAAGGAGAAGCAGCGAATTCCCCCCGAGCTTGGTCCAACGAGTACTCCTTAAAGCATCTTGAAACACCTGTAGCATCCACAGGCAGATTAGACCTTTATTTAGCCAATATGAAGTTAATTTAGTTGGATCTATTTATTTAAACCCTAGGTTTATTCGGATTTGGTGGCTGAATTTTAATCGTATGTTGATTGGGTATTGTGATCACTAGGGGACATCCAGGTGACTCCATCGACATATTATTTGTTTTCTAGGAACAGAAAATCTCCCCGGGTTTTAAGAGATGACGTAGTGTTTAAGTTTGTGCCAAGAATGACGTACACCATTACAAGTACTTATGCCCACAACTTCTACAGCATTTTTTCTGCGTAGACCAACGGCAAATCGAAACAGCTAACTGAGAGTCCATAAAATGGAATATGAAAATATGAAAAATAGCGGAAAAACTCTTGTTCAGGTTGTCATCTGAAGAGAATGTATAGGAGTTCTCTGTTCCTTTATGATATAGGAAAAAACAAAAACTTACTGCTATTTCCTTCCACATATAGGATAATTTATTTGGAAAAAAGTGACAAATACTTTTATATCAAAATACTATATACTGTTGTTGGAAAGCAGTGTAAAATGATTATTATTCAGAAATCTGCTATGAACATAATTCTTGATGCAAACTGTATGGCTTGAAGCGATTCACAATGTAATTCTTGGTCTAAGAAACATTTCAAAAGAGGTCGCTCGCTATATTACCTGGTTTGATGTTTTTCTGCAAAATACGGGGAAAACTTTTGTGGTATCAGACAGTTGGAGACAATCGGCAGGGAGCCTTGGACCTGGGTTTCGTGCTTGTCGGCACTCGTTAGCAAGGCATATCTGCAACCTTGAAGGAACTCATATTCTTTACGAGATTCGAACCCTCGTCACCCAGTGAGAACTGCAGTTAGAGACGTTACCACTGAGCTATTCGGGCTCGCGATTGACCTCCTGTAGGACTGTAATGGGTACTTTGATTGGACACTAGTGACTAGTGTTATGCGTCTAGTCATTTCTTTGGCGCAGACTGAATTCAATCAGTCAGGTTTGCAATGTAGTCATTATTCTGGGTAGCTCGCCATCAAGGTTCACATTGATTTGATGATATTAGATAGTTGGAGGCAATCGGCAGGAAGCCATGGACCTAGGTTTCGTGCTATTTGGCACTCGTCAGCCGGAAAATTTAATGATATTGATGTTGATGTTGATGTTTATAACAGCCTTGAGAAAAGATAACTTGTTGAAATATAGGGCATTTTACAGGTCGGCCGAAGCTAACGCCATTCGAACACTGAAAAATTTTCCCATCTAGGATCATGAGGGATATTTTTTTAGTGAAATCTAAAATACAAAGTTACACACAAAGAGCCAACTGACGAATGGATTATATGAATAGTTAAAAAACGGCCAGTCGGAATTAACATTCTTTAAATAATATAACAGTACTGCATAGATTTAGAACAAAACCACTCATTTTGTAGCTTCCTGCAACGCCAGCCAAAAAACTTCACGATAAGTTTTAGTGTTATTTTACTTGTACAATTTCTCCCTGCAGTTTGCAATATCGCCAGCGTGAGCCTTCTTATATAATAGCCGGGACTGAGAAAATCTACTGTAAAGTTGTGAAAACTTCACTGTTATTACCCAGCAAAGTGACTGTGATACGGATCGCACGAAATTTCGGCTAATTGGACTAGTGAACTTTTGTGCACAATTCTACGTCGATAAGTTATCTCATAACGGAGATCCAAAATGATTAGAACTCCAACGTATAACCTTAGACCAGACCTATCTTCTTTTATTTATAGCAAACTGAAGGACATCTGAACGACGCAAGATTAAATTGCAAAAGTGAAGTACGAAGAATATTGCCGTGGGGTATTGGCTACGTCACATCAAACCCTTATGTGAGAAAGCAACTCATGAAAAATTCATGGTTTCTTCCTAAGCCTCATACGTATGATAGGAAGGGATTCATGTAGAAGATGAGTTCTATTAATTAAACGAACATTTTTAAAATGAATATAGGTGTAAATCCAAATTAGCGTTTGTCTTGTCAAATTCTTGAGGTCGTGTTTGGCACATTATTTAACGGGCACTAAGTTGACCTTGAGCTGGTTGTTGCCTCGGTGTACTTTGTAACTTCTGGGTTATTACAAGATGCAATAGGTTGGATGACGCACTGATAGCTTTATTTTTAAGCATGGGTTGAGGATTTATGTGACTAAATTAATTTAGTATGCTTGGTTTCATATCTGTTGGATCTAGATGAAACCTTTATAAGTTGTTAAGTACTTCATTTCTCTCATAGACTTCCGTAATCTAATCTCGTGAAAGCATGGCTCATGGCACCTTCATAGTTGCTATTGCTCTATGATTGCCTAAAACAGTAATTCATTTCCCCATTATGTATTTTGTTTCTCAGTCATTCTCATATCTGTAAGTTGCAGTTGTATTTCATCCGGCTTTATATTATGCTTGACGGTGCAATGCTTTTGTCGTAGAATTCCTGTTATGGCTGAATCTAATGTATCCAACACTATTGGTTTTCTTCGAGTTTCCCGCCCCTGGGACTCATTACTAGCACCTGTGAATAGTTCACTCTCCGTGGAAAGCATTAAGTGGAGGTTGAACAATCATGCAGCAGCACAAGCTCTGCGTTCAAATGGCCCATCCTATCAAGACTCACACACAATGGGTATACATCTTAACTCGTCCTATACAACTTTCCATTCTTCCTTGCCTCATTCTTCTGACTAGCTTCTATCCATTCACTTATTTTACTGTTACCATTTATGTATGTATTTAATTACCAAATTTCATTATCTGTTTCTTCGTACATTTTCCTTTTTAAGTCTACATAATCTACTCTAATATCTTATTGATCATTACTATTATTTTTACCTCTTCGTCCATAGAGGACGACTAACAGTTGGAAGTATCAATTCTGTTCACAGCAGTGACGCAGTCTTAACACTGTATACTACAAACCATTTATAACCAATCCCAGCACCGTTCCCCTTGGAGTCAACCGAAGCTACAACAGTCGAGCGGTGGGATACACTACTCATAGGTTTACTGAATACCATAAACGTTTATCTTACGACCAAGAAGCGAGACCAGAAAAATCAATTTGGTCTGCACTAGCTCTTAGAAACAATAGTAAACATTGGTTTCAAGTTAAGACTTTGTATGCCTACCATAGGTGGGAATTCCACGGACTAATGTTATTTGTTTGCTCACTCCTTTTTCTCTTTTCCTCTTTGTTCATGTGCTGCTGCCCAAAATATTTACGGTAGTTTCTAGCCAGTTTACGTCAAGTAGCTTCCACTTCTCACCATATTTCAGGCCTCCTCAAATCACTGTATCAGTCGGCTGGTATGAGGACGCAAAGATCCACTGTTATCTAATGAAGCTTAGTTATTTTGACATCAGGTTTACCACACATAAGTACTTGTTTATGCTATGTATATATACAAGTATATCCAGTATAGTCCTTGCATCATTTCCATTGCGTGTGTTTGGTGTTGATTCGATGAACAGAGATTCGGTTAATAATCTCTCTCCACTTAACTGTACTACTTTTACTCTATCCCACTTGAAATTGCGTTAAGAAATAAAAAAGGGTGAGTTAGCTATGCTACACTGTCAAATCAAACAAAGAAAGAAAAGTGGATTAGACACTCTTAACTACAGGAAACTGACACATTTTAATACATATACTTTGATTCATGCCGCCAAAAATCGGCAAAGGTGCGTTTAGGTAGCCCAGATAGTATGTTAAAAGATTTAGATAATGAAATCCAACAAATAAAGAAATATTAGCAGATAATTAACCGCCATAGTTTATTCATAATTGTATGAAGACCTAAAAAGAAAATAAGAATAGTAGTGTAAATAGTGAGAAGTATGAATAATAATGCAGTCAAAGCCTCGTCAGTACTACAATGTAAGTGGGAAACATCAGAGCACTGTAGGATTCTTGATAAGAATGAAATTAGAGTAGTGTTTTAACCAACTTATTCACTTAGAGACAAACTTTGGCTTACAGACCCGACAGATCCCATCAAGAACGAACTCGTCAAAAATCTAGTAGATCTAATAAATAAAAACAATATAATTTACCAAATACCATGTAATGACTATGAGGTCAAATACACAGGTCAGACTAGTACATGGGGGTCATTTAGATTATCCGGACATTGGGATGTAGCTTTACTTGGAATGATGATCCTGCTGTGTCAAATAATCTGGGAAAAAGCTCGGCCATCGCAATGGATTCGCTTGCATGTAATCACACAATGGAGAGGGAAATTGAAATAAAAAAAACAGCAGGAAGTAGGATTAAATAAAGTAAGTCAGGAAGTCGTATGAGTAGGCAAAGATGATTAAGAGTAATAAATTGTGGCTGAGACGTCATTCAGTTATTAATACTGTGTTGTATCAAATAAGCTTATTTAATATGGAATTATATTCTACCACAGTGCCCAAATCCTACTCTTATATTAAGTATAGTATTAGCGGTTATCTCATTAGCCAGCCATTTACGAAAACCTTTAAAGAAATATTATCTCTATATTTCTCTGATTTCTACTCAACATCAAGAACTGTATTAGGTGGTGTTATTTTTTTGTGGCCAGCATACAGCCATGTTGATTTATCCCATATGGCTTTATACTTGCACTGCTATTTGCTATCCCCATTTATAATTTTTTATGTAGTGTGCTCGAAAAACATCAGGTTTTTATATCTTTACAGTGCCTGCTGTCTCGCCTTACACTCGTGAAGCTTGTTCTTCCCAGATTCAGAATATACAGTGACTTTGGTTATTTCTGTAGAATCCCCGCATCCAGTGGCGTCGTCGAGTAGTTTATTCTGTGATCTGTTAACGCTTGTTTGAAGATAATGCAAATCATCTAATAGCTGATATCGTCTTGGGAGACACCACCATCGGGGCCTTGGGCATGTGCCATGACTATTATCCAAATAAATACTATACTGTTTACTGATTGTTAGTCATGGGACTAGACAGAAAATGTGAAGAAGTGGTCAATTCATGAATTGGCATCGTAGGATAAAGAATACTTTTAGGTAGATATGTCTTAGGAAATAAAGACTCCCTGGTTGCAGTCCGAGAGATCTCCTGAGTTAGTGGCTCGAGATGTTATCAGATATGTCGCAGAATCGAAATCATTGGCTAACGTGCTTCAATTTTGTTTCTTCTTTGCTTTCTGAAAGTATTGTGAAGCAATAAAGACTCCTCTGAATGTCTTTGACAAGCGTACCTGCATCTTTTGTACACTTTATGGCTGCCTGGCTATTTTCTTTCTCTTTCCCTGATATTCTTGTTTTATTATTCTGTGTGACACATCTCTTGGTGCTCATGTTGTAACAAGTTGTTGCTTTAAATAAATGAGTTTTTTTATCTTGGCTGTTACAATAAGAGCATATCATTGGGAAATAATTTTGTTTTCTCTATAGTATTGTATTCGCTGTGTATTTCTTAAATGACTAATTCAGCATGTATTTAATCTGTTAAACTATCACTGCCAGTATTCTAAATACTACTTATTTTTTTACATATCCTAGGTTCCCGATTTTGGCATACCAGTAACGCTGTACTCTTATTCATTTCATCTCACTACTCTTCATCATTCTAAAACAACGGGAAAGAATTTAATATGTATAGATCTGGTCGATTATTAACTGAAAGTTGACATGGTAATTTGTACTGAGCGCTAAACATATTCCTTCACTACATATATATAACCGTATTCCTTCAAATCCCTGTATCAAAGTTATGCTGAGTAGAACTGCTACTCGCTTACCTAACTTTCTTCGGAGTCGATTGATTTACACTCATTGTTCAATAATTTTGTCTACAGAAAAATCAACAAGTCTTAGTGGTGTCGACTTTAAAGGAAATTGCCGTTTTCAGTCACGTAATACTAATGCAGAATTAGGTTCTTCTGCAAACCTTCCTGGTCATTATAAAAAGAAGGATACTTTTCACATAGGTACTATTGAAGATCTTCAAAGTTTTGTGTCACATGTAAGTTCTATCATATTGTCTTATATATGTTCACACAGTTACTTATAAACATTTTTTTTATCATATGATCGATAGTTGAATAAGGTTTCTTCTTCTTACATTCCATTGCGTTCTGAGTGGCACATAGGGCTTCAAGCTTTGAAGTTTCATTAGCAGTGGTGTCTCTTCTGTATATACTGTATAACACTGTGAGACTTTATCAAAACAAAATTTACCCATAATGGAATTACACTCTACCACAGTGCACAAGTTTTTATTCTTATATCAGTGGTGTCTCTACTGGAAATAACCTCGGCTAAGCGGGGTTTATGAGTGCGTTGGCCGGGAATCGAACCTGGACCACGTGAAGCGTAGTTGGCGAGCATTTGACCACTAAAACACTGACGCATTAACGTAACTACTGTGTATCCTTAATGGTTGCAATAAACGTGACGTACATAGTTTTTAACCTTTAAGTATTGTCCTACTAAATACTGACAAGATTTAACAAAATAAAACTAGCTCATGTTGAATGACCTTCCCAATATCAGTTTAGTTTATTTATTATATTATTATTCCCTTGGGTTCCGAGTGGAACATAGGGCTTCAACAACACATCTCCACTTTGTTCTATTTTCTGCCGTCCTCTTCAGCTGGGTCCATGATTGACCATAATCTCTCATCTCCTCCTCGCCACACGATCTCCTCCATGTCACCCTCGCATCAACGACTCACTTGCCGCTTCCCATTTGGATTCCACTCCAGCAATAGCCTGCTTTGTGCCACCTCAACGTATTCGCGATCCATCTCCGTTTTCTCATACATATTTGTTAAACAATCAGCTATTTATTGGCTTTTTCTCAGCAAGAGTTTCTTGTAGCTAATTCTTTCTGGTCAGCCAGCCATTTGATCATCAGTATGGAGCCAACGAAGGTGGTAGCTATTGATAAAAGTCTGCAACCTGTTGGAAATTCTTTTCGTGACTGATACACACAGCAAGTTTCTAACCCGTATAGAAGAACCAACTTCACATTTGTGTTGAAAATGCGAATCTTGTTCCTCATGCTGAGTTAGTGCAGAAGATTTCCAAACTGGTTTCAGGTTGATAAAGACGTATCTTACCTTTCCGATTCTGGCTTGCTTTGGCATCTTCATCCGTTGGCTGTGTTTGAAACGATGCTTCCTGGCCATATAAGTGAATGAAGTAACCTCTGTTAAATCTCTCCCATTGGTGATTGATGCTGGTTGTTGTTGTTGTTGTTGTTGAGGTTCGTTGGTTATCTTCATCACCTCCGTATTCTTTATTTTCACTTGGAGTCCTGTCTTCGCTGCCTGCATGCCTATTCTGCCAGTCTGTTGGTTTTCGTCTGCAAGTCTTCAAGTTTGTGTGGCATTAGACATATATCATCTGCGAAACCCAGATCTTCTAGAGTCTTCTTATCAGTGGTCTGGCGTATTCCTGTCTTCTCACTCCCAGTTCACAGTCTGACGCATAATTCAGTCCACCAAAATCATCAGTGATAGTAGGCAGCCAACTTGTCTTACTCCTGTATGGTCTTCGAACGTCTGGCTGAGTTTTTCGTTGTGGATCGCCTGACACGTGGCATCTTCATATGGCCAGCTGTTGAATGAGGTTGATGCAGATTTGGGCACTGCCTGCCGTAGTGTTGAGGCAGTTTCCAAATTACTTCTGGATCAACGCTGTCTGGTGAAGGCCTTTTCGAAGTCAATGAAGTTGAGGTAGAGAGCGAAAGTTGACTGTCATTCTATGCTTTGTTCTGTGATGATGACGCGTAGAGTTGCTATTTGATCAGCACATGATTCGCCTTTCCTGAATTCAGTTTGTTCCGGTGGCTGGCGGAGTTCTGCATTGAGTCCATGTTTTTATTCTCTCCAGGAGAACGCGACTTAGTATTTTACTTGGCATGGGCAAGAGCATTATTCCACACCAGTCCTTGCAGAGGTGTAAGTCACATATCTTTGGCAGCGTGACAAGGTAGCCAGCCTTTCTTCCAGTCGGTAGGCATTTTCCCTTCCTTTCAAATCTTTTACAATAATGGTGTGAGCATATTTGCCGCAGTCTCTGGGTCCGTTTTCAGTGCTTCGGGGTGGGGGAATTCCGTCTGGTCCTGCTGCCTTCCCGACTGGACTTCAGTAGCTTGATCTCATTTAGGATCTCTGCTTTCGTCGGAGGATTGGTGTCCACCGGTAGGCAGTTCTGTAAGTGCTGTTTTTGTTGTTGGTATTTCTGGACGAGTTGCAGGTGATGGTATATTCACGAGTCCTTTGAAATGATCAGCGCATTGTTTTATTTGTTTTTCCTCCTTGGTAATCAGTTTACCTTGACCATCTTTTATTGGTTTCATCATCTGGGTTGATCTCTTCCCGGATAGAGACCTGGTCGAATGATATAATATTCTGATGTCTTCCTGTTCTGCTTCACTTGAGAGCTACTGTATCGTAGAACTTTCTTTCATTTTCCCTAGCGTTCTTCACTTTTTTATTCAGTACAGTGTACATTGAACTCAGCTTCTATTTAAAATGCTAACATCTGTAGTCAAAGATGGCTAACCTCTTTTTTGATGACTAGTTCTTGCAACCATAGAAAAGGACACAACGAACTGCTGCACAATAACATATCCTTTGATCGATAGATGGATATCACATTTACGCTAGAAATGATTTCTTTCGGCAAATGCCATCCATGCATTCGTTAGCAATCGGTCTACAGGGCCAATGCAACTTTCCAAATAGGTGAAGTGATCAACACGCTCAGTTACTTCACTCCATCAGTAAAGACCAGTACTGCGGTATCATCTTATATTTGATAGGAACGAATCGAATGCATAATTTCTGCTCAAGGTACTCAGAGGACTCTGCATTTTGTCGCTGTCCTAATCTAGGAAGACAATATCTGCAAACACTAAACTGACGACTGTCCCCTGGTCACAAGTTAATCACTAAGTCGTTAAAGTTGGTTACAGTTACATCTGTTAGTACATGTTTATTATGAAATTCAACAAAAATGGGTACATTCGGCACTACTGACGGATACCACTGTTTTTTTATACTTTAGATGACAACTCTCCGTAAGGTGTTACACAGAGGCTTTAGTTCGACTAAAGAGAGGCAAGGTTAAGCGTGAGGCTAGCAACCTCACCCTGTAAAAAAAAACAAAAGCGCTACTGAGGCTTCAAAGCTCAAAGCTTGAAGTCCAATGTTCCACTCGGAATGCAAATGAATAAGAGTTACAGTTTCATGGTGTGGCTTGTTAAACTGCTTGTTGAACTCTTTTCCTGATGCTTCATTTACAATATAACCTCCAATTATACTTTTCTCTTAAATTTCTCCCATTATCTAGCCTAGTACTACAGTAAATGATATTTTACAAATTGATGTACGCCAACTGCCTTCTGATGCATGCATGTTGTGTTTAGAAGCTGTGCTAAGGCTTCATAAACAATCGAATAAGGAGGATTCATTGATTCAACATGCTCAGAATAATTTACGAGCTTCTGTAACATCGTCTAGCAGTGATTGGCCATTACATTATATCAATTTAGAGCATATAACCAGATGGCATAAATTTAATTTAGGCATTAATCCTTTCAATGATAATGATGATCATGCTGATGCTATTAATAAAAGAGATTGTACAGCATGGATAAATTCGGAAAAATTCGATCTTCTATTACTAACAACAACAGCTTGTGCAAACAGATTGGATTTAAGATCGTTATTAAATTTAGCCGGACATTTTCGTTATTTTTGGGATAAATATGAACCGAAGGCGTATGCATCAATTCTACGTCAAATACATAATCAGGTAATGCTTTAATTTTAGCCAATTTATTTTTAAATATGTTTTGTTTCATTTTGTGTTAAATCTAAATAATTATTTAGCTTAGTGGTTTTTTCATTATTGTATTCGTTGTTCTCATGTTTCTGTTTTGTTTCTTATTTATATCTCACTGTATATTTAGCGAGGTTAAACTTTAAGCACCAGTAAGTACCAATGGAGTGCTCCCGAATCAACAACCTTGAAACGTCTAGAGAACAAGTTAGTGAAACCTGGCAAATAATATTGTAGGTATGAATAAAATATGCTTAATGAAGTGTTACGTTATTAAATGGGATATCTGGCAAGTTTCAAGTTAGGTTTGGGAAAGATAAAGTTAAGGTTTAGGCTAAGGGCACGTTAGGGTTAGGTTAATCTAATGAGCGAGACATTAGAGTTGGTTCGATTTAGATTAGGGTTAGTTTAGGGATGTTTTCACGTTAGGGTTAGGTTAAGGAAAGATTGGGGTTATTGTTAGGGTTAGAAGACCTAAATAATTACATGCATAGAATGTGGTTAAATTACTCTGTTGATACCTCAATCCAAAACTGAGAGGTATTTTAATTGAATTTTAGATTTTCCCGTCGATTGATTGGACCGAAGTGTTTGGTCACAAGAAGCCGATATTTCAACCTGAGACCGCGCACTTCGGCCCAATCAATCGATGGGAAAATCTAAAATTTAATTAAATCGATATAACCCGTTGCACAAGAGGTGGCTCTCGTGGCCCAAGTGGTCTGGTGGATAACGACTTGGTGTTTGAAACAATGAGCACTGGGTTCGAGCGTCGGTGGGAACATCATCACTCCCTGGGGAATGCAGGTACATCCAGTTAACCACAAGTCCCAAATAGGACGAAATGCGCATCCTGGATTCCACTGCTAGTCACCATCCACCAATTAAATGAGAGGTATTCTTATACTACAAGTCAGGGAAAGGTATTCTGTGTAACAGTATCATGCCTTTTTATTCATAATTATTCCCATGAATATATGTACTTTATACTCAAAAATCGCCTTTATCATCTGATTGGTGCGTTCAAGGTCATTTGTCCGTTGGTACATACTGGTGGTTAAAGTTCAACTTCACCGTATATTTTGTCATTGATAGATTGTTCAATGAGCGGATAATTTCACTTTCTTAAAAATAGAACGCTATATGCGATACAGTTACCAACTGATATCTGTTTAGTAGATATATATGTAGTTCGGTGGCTTAAGCACTTGGTTTTCATCCAATAAATCCTGGGTTCGAACTCCGTTTCATCTATTTTAGCTTGGGAAACTATGACTGGGTAGTAGTATCATCTGCTCTCATACAATAACTGAAAATTCTGTTCCAAGTGAGTGGCTGAGTTGTCATCATGTATATCTGGAATAATTGAACTATATGAAAATAAAAACTGGTTGAGAATGTAGTGAATTTACTTTCAAAATTACTTTCAGAATTGACTAGCGATATATTTCGGTTATCGAAGGTAGTTAAAACTCAGAACAACTAGATATGAAGATGATGTCATGTACTATTGATTGATTGATTGATTGATTAACGCGCGTAGCTGAATACCACTCATTATCAGCTAGTGATACTTGCTAGCCAGATCTAAATACTGGACGGCTGTTTCACTCATTTCCAGTCGGGCTCATCAGCAGTGTGCCCGGATCGAGTCAGCTGACTTAGTTCAGATCACTCGAATCAAATTCTCAATGTATAATTTGCACAGTTCAAGGTGTAATTTCACTATAATTTCCTGGTGTGTGGTAAAATTGTGCTTTTATTGTCTGGTATTTGTTTGGAAAGGTAGTTTTTAGTGCATTCTAATTTGTATAAAGTGATTAACTTGTGCCAGATATTGCCAGATATAATGATATAAATGACATCAAATCTTACTTTTCCTACTCCTTACGTTCCAGTAGGAATGCTTCAGTATTGGTGGTAGAGAGTTACTGGCCTCACGCTCAGCCTTTCCTCTTTTCTAGTGTTACTACCGGCTGGGCGTGGTTCAGGAGTTGTTTGTCGGTCGGGAATCACACCTGGACCATTTTGCGTGGTTGTTTGGCGAGCATTCTACCTCTGAACCAACGACACATAACTGCATAACTAACCTCACATGGCTGTACTTTGTGTTAGCGGATTGGCGATGATGTTAGAATAGGCATTTTTAGAAGAAAATCTTTGGTGATGCACTGCCTATTTTACTGTGTTGGTTAGATAAAGTAACTGATACTGCTTCATAATTTGTATAAGAGTAATGAAAGGCATATGTCATTAGAAGTTAGATTAGTGTTACTAATTGTCAACCTTCCATAGAGCCATAGGTAGTTGTTTACTACTGTTTATTTTTTTTAATTTTTGATTACAGCTTGATTCCACACCGTATTTTCGGTACAGGTATGGAATTTTCAGCATGTGATATCGGTAGCCCAAATTTTGCAGGCCAACCATAGATATCAGGTGTGCGTCGACAGGGGATCGAACCCTGGACCATGTTCATGGTCGGCGAGAGTCCTAACCACTGTGCCACTGACACCTGTAGATGCTTGTAGAAGAATGCTCCAAGATTCCTCTCAAAATATAATTTTTATTATTGATTTTATTCCTTTACGTTCCCAGTGGAACATAGGGCTTCAAGCTAGAGACTTAAAGTTTCAGTAGCAGTGGTGTCTGTTTATTTTTACGGGATGAGGTTGCTAGCCCCATGCCCAACCTTTCCCCTTCACTAGTCTTACTACTGGCTTAGAGAGGTAAAGGAGTGCATCGGTGGCCGGGGATCGAACCCTGCACCATATGCGTGGTCGGCGAGCTTTCTACCGCTTTATTTTTATTCTTAATTCGAATTACTGATATGTATTTTTTTAAAAACTCGAATTTGCACCTTATCCTCGAAAACTCTTACTGTTCATCAGGCCAGCCATCACTAAGCACCATCAGTTGATATTAAGGAATAAATTCTCATTCCATCATAAATTTAAAAATGTCATTTTTGGAGCTTTACCTTTCTTGGCATATTATTCTGAAGTGAGTTATAATCCTCCGAATATGACAAAAGAGAATTATTGGAATTTTCAAGAGTTAGTTTGTAGGAGTTTAATTTCTTTCAAGTTTGATCACGGATTAATATCAGTTAGAGAGAAGCATTGGAAATCGAGTGAGAGTACTGGAGAGCTGTTTCGTCCTAGTTTGGGACTTATAGGCAGTACGCATCCATTTTATGGACAAGTGTTTAAGCTATCGTTAAAATTTATGTTCTTCAAAGAAATAAATATAGACGAGTATTATTTATGCATGTTTATAGTTTCCTGTTGATACCCTGATATAGATCAAACTCACTTTTAGTATATGGGCTGCTTGAATGGATGCCTTAATGTGTTACCAAGATTCATAGAGCAGTCTTGAAGACAGGAGTAAAACAAGGTGGCTGCCTAACTATCACCGTTGATATTCCTGATTTCGATGGACTGGAAAGGCAGTTGGGAGCGAAAAGACACGAATACATTGAGGCGACTCTGAAATATTTATACTTCGAGGACAGTTTATATTTAATGTTACACAAACTTGAAGATCTACAAGCAAAAACCAACAAATCAGCAGAAGAAGCAGCAAAGACACGACTTTCAGAAAACATAGAGAAAACAGAAGTGATGGAGATAACCAGTAATCAATAGTGATAACAACAAATACTAATCACTATCAATGAGAGAAATTTGAAGTAGGCCACTTCTTTCACTTAACTCGGCAGTACCGTTTCAACTACAGACAGCACGGATGAGAATGTCAAAGGCCGGATCGAAAAAGTAAAACAAACATTCATTACTCTGAGATCAGTGTAGATATCTGCTGCAATTAATTTAAAGAACAACATTCTGATTTTCAGCACTAATGTCAAGTTAGTCAGTTCTTCGTTATGGTTCAAAGACTTAGCGCGTCACCAAGAGCATTTCGAACAGCCTACTTCAGACTTTTATCCACAGCTGCTTACCTACTCTCCATACTGAAGATCAAATGACTAACCAGAAAGAATTAGCAACAAGGAACTCTGTGAACGAATAAACCAAGAACCCCATAGCCCCCCCCCCAAAAAAAAACAAATTACTGATGAAGATGGATCAAACGCACGCTGAGAAGACCGTTGAGTGACATCGCGCACCAGGTCATCGCTCGAGTGGAATTTTGAATGCGAAATGACGTGTTTGGCTTGGGTCCGAGAGTGACATGAGGGAAATCGTGTGGGGAGGAGGTGAGAGCTTATGGAAGACAGGATGAAATGGAGATGTGCTGCGGAAGCCTGATGCTCCACTTGAAACCTAAAGTGATCATTAAAAAAATAGTAGAATCTGGGATGTCCCTTCCGCCTTCTTTGACACCCGTCGACTGGATGTGCTTTCTCTTCAGGGAATGTGATGGTGCTCTCTCTCTCTCTCTCCGACTTGAACGCTTTGCTATCTGAAGAAACAAATACTGGGTTTCAGCCTCAGTGGAGACACGTACACTCACTGAGAAATAAGCATATTCAGACGATGAGTCCCAAACAGGACGAAAGACGCGTCTCTGACTCTGTTGGTAGTCACCATCACAAAAATAGATGAGTACTTTGTATCATTCAGCTGAAACTAGTATATTTAATGTCCATGTATACGCCAAAGTGTATCCGCATTTATATACGTCGTTACGTCAATTGCTTAAGGGTTAAATAGTTCACTTATATTGTAACAACAGAAGACAAGGGCCAGGCAACAGATCGTTTATTAAGGAAATTAAAGCATATTTATATATTTTCATGTACATTATTATAGTTTAGTTAAGCAAACAAACACAGTCTTCTGATTGGTTGTTTCTCACTTAAAGTTAATCTTTCATCTCTTTGTGACTGTTTCTTGAATGTCAGATCATCTATATGTTAACTGTATCCGCCTACGCAAAGTCTGCTGTGGTCGGTTTTGAATCAGTCTTGTTCATATTTTCTCACGACAAATCTTGAGAACGTAAACATTGACGTAAATTACTGTCTACCAATTTGGCTAGTAGACAGCTCTCACCACACTCGTCCCCCCGTCAAATAGTTTGGACTGAAGTCGGCTTGATCTTCTTGGTGCTGGCGTCATCGTTGGCTTGTCTCGCTCTATCCATTTCTGGAGCTCGCTGATGTTCACCCGCTTCTCTCTGTTTGCATTTTTGATGGTATATACGTGCCCCCGTCTCGCGGTGACCGTGTATGGTCCTTCCCACTTTGGTAGCAGTTTCCGCGACCCTGGCACGTATCCGCCGGTGTTTCGCCTATCTCTACATTTGACTTGATCTCCGATCTCGAATGCGGGGTACTTCTCCTTTACCCTCAGTTCGGCTTTCACAGCGTCCACTTTCTGCTTTCGTTTTACGTTGTTGATGGCTTCTTTCCGCTCCGTCCGCCATCTCGTCATACTCCAATGCTGATGGAGGGGCCAGGTCTTGTTATGTATCGGTAGTCGTGGTTTCCTCCCATACATCAACTGAAACGGTGCTTTCTTCGTCGTTTCTTGCGCGGACGCACGATGTGCTAGCAGAATCAGTGGAAGCTCTGTCTCCCAGTTACCGCCCTTTGTGGCCAGCCACTCTTTCAGGGTGCGGTTATTTCTCTCCGTCAGTCCGTTTGTTTGTGGATGATATGGCGTTGTTCTAATTTTCTTGATACCTAACTCTTGCAGCCGGACTTTAAACTCTTCACTTTCAAAACACGGACCTTGGTCTGTCAATATCGCTTTTGGCACACCGTGATTTGCAACGATATGTCGCACCACTGCTTCTGTGACCGTTTTTGCGCGTTGATCAGGGATCGCGACTGCGTCTAGCCATCGTGTGGCATGTTCTGTCATGACCAGAAGATATTGATTGCCATTGGACGTTTGTGGAAAAGGTCCCATTACATCTACTGACCACAGGTCGCCTACTGCTGTCACTGGGATCGACTGCGGTGACGGTCGTATGTACTGATCACCTTTCATCAGCTGACATTGCGCACACGCTGTTACGTACTTCTCGACGTCTTCTCTCATACCTGGCCAGTACATGCTTTTTCGCAGGAGATCGTTCGTTCTGGCAACACCTGTGTGAGCTAGTTGGTGGCATTCCTGTATCATCTCTTGGCGCAGACACTGAGGTATTACTGCTAAGCGGCTTCCGTCATCCTCCCGCCACGTCAACATTCCGCAGGCATTCAAGCTTAGCCGGTCTTTTTGTTTGAGTAGGAGATTTAGCTCACGGTTCGCTGTGGGCCGATTCACCTTTTTTTCGTTAGTTATCACTTGTATGACAGTTTTCAAGGTGTCGTCTGATCTTTGAATCTGGACAAGTCTTGCTGGGTCCTGCTCTAAGGCATTTACACCATATGCTATTTCCGGTAACTCTACCTCTTCTGTTCTAGATAAAATATCCGGTAACACATTCTCTTCTCCTGGAACATGAGAGATCGTGAAATCGTACTCTTGCAGGCGCAGCATCCATCGTGACAACTTCCCACGTGGGTCTTTGGCGGTTCTCAGCCACTGCAACGGCTTATGATCAGTCTCTACGTGGAAGCGTTGACCCAGTAAATAGGGTCTCCATTTGTCTAGCGCCCAAACAATCGCCAAACACTCCTTCTCAATTGTTGAATACTTCTGTTCTGCGTGCGTTAAAACACGGCTGGCGTACTCGACGACTCCGTCACCCTGTCTGAGTACTGCACCTATTCCGTAATCGCTAGCGTCGGTAGACACTATGAACGGCTCTCCCGGTATCGGTAGTCGCAGCGTCATTCTCTGGTGATCCATCAGCTGTTTGATGTGGTCAAATACTCTCTGCGAGTCTTCGGACCAGACAAACTTTGACTCGCCTAATAGCCGGTAGAGCGGGGCCGCTACTTTGTTGAAGCTTTTCACGAATCGACTGTAGAACGCCGCTCTCCCCAAAAACTGTCTTAATTTCCTTTTCGAATTCGGGGGCTCAATGGACTTGATTGTTAAGATTTTTTCCGGCAGCGGTGTTATCTCGCCATTTCCCACCTTATGACCCAAAAGCGTAACGTTCTTCTTAGCAATCTGAGATTTCTCCTTGTTGATGCGTAGACCGAAATCTTCGATGCGTTTTAGAACTGCCTCTACATGCTCTACGTGGTCAGTCTCGCTCGTACTGTATATCACTAGGTCATCTCCATAAACTTCGACGTTCCTCAAATTCTTAAGTAGCAACGTCATTAATCGTCTAAATGTAAACGGAGCACCTGCCAATCCAAAAGGCATGCGTTTGAACCGATACTGTTTTTGTCCCACAAAGAACGCCGTCTTATCTCTATCTCCTCGTTCTATAGGCAGTTGCCAGTACCCCGATCGCAGATCTAAGACTGTGAACAGCTTCGCACTTTGTAGGTGATCTAAAGTTTCTGCTATTGTTGGCATTGCACACGGTCTCAGCTCTGTTATACTGTTCAATTGTCTGAAATCAACACAAAATCTGTATTTCCCGTTGCTTTTCTTCACCAATAGCACTGGAGAACTATATGGGCTATCGGCTTCTTCAATAATGTCATCCCTCAACATCTCTTCAACCTGTCTTGCAACCTCGCTTTCTAAATGACACGGGACTCTTCGAGTAACAAATGGTCTCCCTTTCCCGCTTGTCACTGGAATTTCGTGCTTCACTTTATCACAGTAGCCGTACGGATCTCCCTCTCCAGTGAAAAGATGGTTGTATTTGCTGAGTAACTTTGCTATACTTCGGACTTCCGATGCCGCAATCCCTGCTACCTCACTATTCTCGTGCATGCTAAAACACCCGTACTTCGTAACGACAACCCTTTTCTTCATGTTAATCACTGCATCCACTTCTCGCAAAAAGTCGGCCCCAAGGATTGTTCGGCGCAATTCAGGTACAACCAGGAATGGGAACGTCACGCAATCCTCTCCAATTCTAACCCTGCAGTCTGAAACTCCCGCGATTCTTAACACGTGACCGCCTACTGTCTGCACTGTCAACGAACACGGTCTTATACTCTCACATAGACTCCTATCTACGAGTGAGACTGCAGCCCCTGTGTCGATTAAACACACCAACTCGCGATCATTTACCCGTAACTTCGAATATATTGCCCCCTTCTCCATCGCCCCTATTACCTCAAGTCTCGGAACACAGGAAGAAGACACAGTATATCTTTTAAAAATTCTTCTTTGTCGTCTCTCCGGGCAGCGGTCTCTCCAGTGCCCCAGTTTGCCACATGCGAAACACCGGTCTCTCCGCACGCTCAGTCTCAGCGCGGCCACTTCACGTTGCAACTCTTCGATTTGTTTCTCACACTGCTCGGATTTTGGTGGCTCTACCGCTGCAACCGTCTTACTCAACAGTTGTCTGGTCACCTTCGCAAGCTCCCCGATGTCCAGTGGCTGTACGGCGTTAACCAGATGTAGCTGTTGGGATATATGTTCTGGGACACTCTCCATAAACTGGGATGCCAACATTTGTGCCTCAGAATCTTCGTCCAGTGTTGGTAGAGCGCGACGAAGTAGGCTTGTCAAGGTCAGCGCCAATACGAGAGGATCACCGTCAACTCCCAGCTTCATGGTGCGAAACTGCTGCATTGCCCGCTCTCTGTCCATCGGGCTGTCAAACTCCTGCTTCAAGCGTTCAACCACTGACTTCCAAGTTGCTTGCCCCTCTGTTTGCCTCACACTATCATATGCTGCCTTCGCCCGGCCTCTCAGTAGCGTTCCAAGTACAACCGTCTTCGCTGATGGCTCTTGCACGCCATTCAACTCTGCAATAGCTTCGAAGTCCCTCAAGAAGATCCATATGTCTCCTTCTTCAAAAGCTGCAGGCCATGGGACTTTCATTTCGCGACAGGCAGCGACACCAAATGTAACAACAGAAGACAAGGGCCAGGCAACAGATCGTTTATTAAGGAAATCAAAGCATATTTATATATTTTCATGTACATTATTATAGTTTAGTTAAGCAAACAAACACAGTCTTCTGATTGGTTGTTTCTCACTTAAAGTTAATCTTTCATCTCTTTGTGACTGTTTCTTGAATGTCAGATCATCTATATGTTAACTGTATCCGCCTACGCAAAGTCTGCTGTGGTTGGTTTTGAATCAGTCTTGTTCATATTTTCTCACGACAAATCTTGAGAACGTAAACATTGACGTAAATTACTGTCTACCAATTTGGCTAGTAGACAGCTCTCACCACAATATATTATAGTTCATATTATATTTATACTCTAATTTTATTTTGTATTTCTATAGATAAACGAATTATCCATTGTACAAATGGCTCAAATAGCTCATATACTCTCAAATATTCAATGTGATCAAACTAATAGATTGAATCGTCCACTGATGAATGAAATTAAATCATTTCAATCAGCAATTATTATCCATTTATTGCATAAAACTGATCTCTTAACAACAACAACACATGATCCAACACTTATTATACGATTAATTTATGATTTAAGATGGTCACTGACAAAAAACCAACTATGGACTCTATTCGATTCAGTCTATCATAGTCTGTTGTTGAATAAATTACACTGGAATTTATATACTATTGCATATCTATTGCTACATATGAGTAAATTGGAAGTATGCAGACCATCATTGATAAAAAAGTTAGAAGAAATTTTTTTTTTGTGTGTCTTGATAATTTTTATTGGCTTTTATGCTTTATTTTGTATTTCTATTGTCCTTCATCAACCTGAAAGCAGTTTGGAAATCTGCACTAATTCAGCATAAGGACCAATATTTGGATTTTCAACACCAATGTGTGTGAAGTCGGTCCTTCTATACGGGTCAGAAACTCGCAGTGTGTGTCAGTCACGAAAAGAATTTCCAACAGGCTACTACAGACTTATCAACAGCTACCACCTTCGTTGGCTCCATACTGAAGATCAAATGGCTGGCTGACCAGAAAGAATTAGCAACAAAAGACTATGGCTTGGAACAAACCAACGAATAGCCGATCGCTCAATAAATATGTAGGAGAAAGCGGAGATGGATCGGGCATAAATTGAGGAGGTCGCCGAATAACATCGCATGCCAGGCCCTCGAGTGGGTCATCCTAGGGTGACATGGAGGAGATCGTGTAAGGAAGAGATAAGAGAGTTTGGTCAATCGTGAACCCAGCTGAAGAGGACGGCAGAAAACAGAACAAAGTGGAGACGTGTTGTTGAAGTCCTATGTTCCACTTGGAACGCAAGGGAATAATAATAATAACTGACTGACTGACTGACTGACTGGTTTTATCAACATAGAACTTTGCATAGAAGTGCAGTAGTTCGAGTTACTGCACTCCATGTAGCATACAAAGGAGAGATAGTAGGCGGAAATATGAGGGAGAAAGAATAGTAACATGCGAGAACAATAGGATTTACAGAGTGAGTGGATGTGCGCCAATAGTCTCCAGCCTTTGGTAGTTAGTATCCCGAGGACGCCATCCAGGCAAAGCAGTAATCACTAGATTACTAATTGGCTTCAATAAGTCCCATAACTCTCAATTTGTTGACTGTCAGATCTAAAGGTGAGAGTGGCCTTAATCATGCCGCCAATTCAGACATTGTTCTCTCAGCAATCTAATAGATGATAATTGACATGTATGACTAAGAACATTTTAAGAATATCTGTTTTCAATGTGTCATGATTTTAGATCCCAGTGTTTAATTATCCTTAGTTTAATGTGTGTAGAATATTCACTTTCAAAAACTTCTTTATTCATACACACAATAAAGCGATCAACAAAAATGAGTTCGAAATTGTATATAATTGTATCTATCAATTGAACTGTTCCTGTGTTGAAGCCAGTTATATTGGTCGTTGCTCTACGAACGTAATTTTCTGTGCTCGGGAACACCTACCAGTCTGTGGCTAAATAAAGGTGTAGTTAATCCCATCAACAGTTCTATATTAACTCATTAAAAATACCCATTAAAATTTTCCAAAAGAATGGTTACTAAACAAAGAATATTCCTTTTAATAACCCGTTCTTTGTCAGGTTCTACGGTTATATATACATAATAGTGAATGAATTAGTGTCATTAACAACATTGGCGTTGTTTAAATAACATCAAATCAATAATAATAATAATTATATCAATGGATTACAGTTCGGCAGCATCAACATAACAATACACAGAATATCAGAGAAATTAGAAGAGATAATAATACAAATTCATGAATTTATAATCTCCATTGAAGGCCGGCCAGGTCAGCAGTAGTGGCTGGGTTTACTTTTTCTGCACACAAAGCTCCGGTTGTTTAAGGCAAATCACTATAGCTTCAGCTGTTTGGAGCATCCGTTGCCTGGATGTTTTTGGCAACTTATTTGGTACCCGGTAGATGATAGAGAAGGATTCTTCAATGGTGGCTTTGTGGGCGGTTTGGACCAGGTGGTCTAATATCGAACTGTTGATGGTTTTTACTACATTTTTACTTAGCCACACTATTAGATGTTCCCGAGCACAGGCAACAAAGTTAGCCACGTTGAAGAGTCTTTCTTTATTATAAATATGGGGCCGCTAAATACCAAATACTTCAAACACCAGACACCGTTACAGTTCTCATAAAACAACCGAAACTCTTACTGTAAAAGAAACAAGTCTAGCCACTATTTCTACATTGGTCTACTGAAGAATCTATAAATTCATAGATTCCGTGTTACTTTCCTTAATTTATCTATTATTTAGTCAATTTAGCATTATATTAATGGATGGTGTCTCTTACTGATGCTTTTGAAATGTAATCACTTGTTGATACTATTGATTCAATTGAATTTAAAACAACACTGATGGTCTACGAGCTCGCCTTGTAATCAGAAGGTCCTGGGTTTGAACCTCAGTGGGTGCGTACTGCTGCAGAAGAGTCCCAAACTAGGACGAAACGGCTGGCTATCCAGTACTCCCTGCAGGTTTTCCTAGGGTTCTCTAACTGATGTCAGCTCATAATGAAACCCTCCAACCAATCAAGCAATAACGCGATAAAGAAGTTATGGAAAAGAATATTCTTTTACGAGTTGATCATGGACTGATATCAGTTAGAGAACCATTGAAAACCAGGGAGTACTGGACAGCTGCTGTTTCATCCTAGTTTGGGAATCATCGGCAGTACGCACCCACTGGGATTCGAACCCAGGACCTTCCAGTTACAAGGCAAGCTCGTATACCATTCAGCCACTGGGACCCGATTCAATGGCTCATGAATTCTAACTTCTACCAATTCGTGATTTTAGCGCAACCCCAACTATTGTCGTTGGTGGGACATCCATCCACACACGTGACTTCTAATTGGACCTCACTGGTCACGACTTCTCACTAGAACTCCAGGAAGCTCCAACCTGTAGCAAGTCACTAGCGAGCATCAGAATAATTTTCTATAGTTTGGTTTGTAAGGATTAGTTATGTTTTACGAGTTGATCACGGACTGATATCACGTGTGTGGATGGATGTCCCACCAACGACAATAGTTGGGATTGCGCTAAAATCATGAATTGGTAGAAGTTAGAATTCATGAGCTGGCCATTGAATCGGGTCCCAGTGGCTGAATGGTATACGAGCTTGCCTTGTAACCGGAAGGTCCTGGGTTCGAATCCCAGTGGGTGCGTACTGCCGATGATTCCCAAACTAGGATGAAACAGCAGCTGTCCAGTACTCCCTGGTTTTCAATGGTTCCCTAACTGATATCAGTCCGTGATCAACTCGTAAAACATAACTAATCCTTACAAACCAAACTATAGAGAATATTCTTTATAATAAAGGTTTTTTTATTTCCCAATGAATGAAAAACAAAACGATTTTGTTTTTACTGACGTTTCGCTATTTAATGCTAATAGCTTTATCAAGGAATATTCTTTGTTCAGAAATTGGTCTTTTAAAATTGATTTAATTAATTTCTTGTTTTGTAGTTAAATTAGTTCTTTTTTCACCCTCTCTCATTTATATTTTAGTTGTTTAAATAAAATATCCCGTAAATTAAGAATATCTGAATACCATGTTGCAGTGAATCAATGTCAGTGGATGAATGCTATGCTTTCAGCACTAGCCAATAGTACAATTAGTTTTTATAGTTTTGAAAAGAATTCTAATGAAGTTGAAGAATTACAAGGCTTTATTCAACCACCATTTATTGATCCATCCTGCAAGAACAATAATGATAGAATACTACATGAAAATCTGTTTGATATGCATAAAATCTTCACTGCTGATTGGGTTCAGGAGTTGTTCACTGCTATTTTACAGCATGCTGCAACTCAACCAATTCTTGATTATAATTCATTAAAGTGTTTAGCTCAACTTATTTATTCGCTGTCCTTATTTGGTTATAAAGCAGATTTACTTATTGAACAGTATAATGATGCTGAGAAACAACTGAACAACAGCACCACAACCACTACTTCTGTTTGTACTCAACCTCCATTTATTAATATGGCCAAGTGTTTGACTACTCCATTATCTAAAACTAGCAGTGAAGAGGAGAGTAAGTTTAGCACGTATTTGTATGGTTTTTATAGAATATCTGTTTAGTCCTTTGGTCTTCTATTACAGATCTAAGAGATGTGAATGTGAAATTTAATTGTTTATTGTAGTGTATCATTGGTTCATTGGTAAAGTAGCTTGTCAAACACGCTCATGGTTTGGGTTCGATTCCTGGCTGACGCCTATTTTATCAACCAACAGTTAGCCCGGAAAAAGAAGGAAAGTTGGGCGTGAGGTTAGCCGTGAAAAAAACAACACTATTGACACTGAAACTTCGAAAACTTGAAGCCCTATTTTTCACTTGGGACGCAAAAAATGAAAGGGATTGTGTATTAAATCTTTATTTTGTAAGTTAGTGACTAAATGAATGTGCGAAATAGAGTCATTGTAAATGCTTTGTCAATCATTCCAAAAATCAGTCAAAATAGCAAAAACAATCACTACTGAGTAACTAGTGTCATGTGTCTAACCTTTAGTGTCCGTGGTGATCGAGTCTAATGCCGAATAGTGACTGATTACTAAATTAAGTTTCCTGGAAATGTAGTGAAAAGTCGTGACTAGTAGGGTTTACCACATTGAGTGTAAGAAGAAATACTTGTCGATGATATCAGCTGGAGGTGGCGCTGTATACCATAAATAGACAGAAGTTTTAACTGATGCGGAATGGTCGACGAGATCGCCTCGTAACCTGAAGGCCATTCATTCGATCCCTTGTGGGGTCGTGGGTGCGGGCTACTGTAGAGTTCGGAACAAGGACGAAATAGCTATCCCTTACCTAGGAGTGATCCTAGGTTTTCATTGGTTCTCTAGCCGATTTCAGCTCATGGTTTAATTTACATTCTATCAGTCAAGTTTGCAACCTGATCATCAAACCTAGGGTAAATTGCATTGCATTGGGCTTCTTGGCGATTGTTTTCAACCACTTAAGTATAGTCATTAAAACAGTCCCAATCGAAACTAAAAATGATTAAAATGTTATGAGATACAATACCTTCAACTGCGAATAGTTTGTAACCATGTTACTTACAATATGCGGATGGTATAATCCTTCTAGGTGAAGACACTGACAAAATGCAGTCTTCTCAACATCTTCGACAGCAGTCTTCCAATGTTTGGCATGGGATTCGCTCCTGTCAAATGTGAGATGACGCTACCGGACTAGACTGCATCGACTCCTAGCCTAAAGATAGGGAGTGAAGTAGTTGGCGGAGCGTGTTAACCACTTCACTTATGCGGGAAGCTGCATCACCCAGTGCCAGCGAGTTGATCGCTGACGAAATCTCAGATGCAGAAGGCTCTTTTCGCAAATGCCAGTTTACGCCATCGCTGGCTTATATATTATCTCCGGCTGGCTATCGATCAAAGGATGTATGTACTGCTCACCAGTTCGCTCCGTCCCACTTTTTGGCTTAGAAATGACGTTTAAAGTGGAAGATATGAAACGCCTGGCTAGCTATCTCTGATCATAGATGTCTGTGTTCCATCTCTCGTGTTGGGTGATGTAATAGAGTGAGGAGTATTGAGGTTAGTGGTCAAGTGCTGGATAAGGAGGGGAATTCAATCGATGAGGTTGTGAAGTTACACCGATTGAGATGTTTAGGACATGTGTTACGCATGCCTAGCCTAGCTATCGCCTTCCTCGACGACCAATGTTAGCCACTGACATAGGATGGAACAGGTTGGAAAAGAGTTTGCTAGTGGTGGTCAAACCAAAACATGGCTTCATCAGTCAATGAAATCCACAACAGTTACTTTAAGCCAACCAACCGCCTCAGGAGGTGTAGACTGCTTAGCTGGTTGAGATCCTCGAGATGGTAAGAAGCAATGAAGACTGGAGACGGTTCAGAATCCTTGTTCTGGATGATGGAATAGATGCATTGACCCTTTGTGGTTTATCAAATCTAATAAAATCATTTTTCTTCCATACTACTATTCTTCTTGCCATGTTTTGGTTTGACCACCACTAGCCAACTCTTTTCTAACCTGATCCGTCATATGTCAGTGCCTAACATTCCCCATCGGTCGAGGAAGGTGGTGGCTAGGCATGCGTAACACATGTCCTAACCATCTCAATCTGTGTAACTTCACTATCAATAGATTAATTGAAAGACAAACAGAATCTCTAAGAAATAGTAGAACAAAAAAGCAGGTTAACCTAGTTGTTAAGGGCATCGAAAGAAGCCTTCATTACTTCGTAATACTTCCAGAAAACGAAGAACGAGGAGAATAGTAGCATTTTCGCTTTCGAGCTATTCCTCATAACATTTCAAGTCACTAGTTTGGATGACCTTTCGGACCCCACCCACGGAGTCGCGATTCACCAATGGATATCCAAAGAAAAGTATCCTTTATCCAATACTGCCATTTGATTGATTGACGATCTTTCCTTTTTTTCTCATCTAGTTCATTGGCTGACAACCAGTGAATGGTTTAAAAGTCTTGTGAAGAGCATTCGAAGCTGAGATCTGATGGTGGTATCCTAAGATGATATCACTTGTTCAAAGGTGATTTCTATTGTTTTCCTAAATGCTTCATTTGAAACTAAAATTTCTCAGTCAGTGACTCCATCAGGTGCAGAGAGTTCTAGTGAGCCAATGACAATCAAACATAAAAAGTCAGTGCTTGTTCGTAACCTTGGGATGTCATGTTTCACAGGTTTAGAAGACATAGCTTGACTCACTGAAGGCCTGTAAATCTAATCTTCGGCTGCCAAAATGATGGTGCTAATTTGCACCTTTTCAAATTTCAGACAACTTCTAAACTTTCCATTTAGACTGTATTTGGATAGTTTGTGAGGGTGTAAGTTATTTGAATTGTTTTTTAAAGTGTCCTCTCAAAAGTTGCTTACAAGAGTTGAATAATATATCGATCGAAGTAATTAAATAGTATATATGTATGTATATCACTAATAACTGTTCATTTCGTTTCATAGAATCATCTGTATTGTGGATTCCACGTAGTGATTGGCGGTTCTACTATCTTTGTGGTCTTGGACTTATAGAAAGGTCGGTTGTAGTATTAAATTAAAATAGATTGATAATTGTAATTTTTTTTAAAGAAAGGATCTATTATTTACTTATTTAACCCCAATTGTACACTTATGCATTTTACAATAGGCTGATAATGTACGATGCATGATTGTGTTTCAGTCCCTGAAAATCGACACTTGAAAATTAATTCAGTACTCACTACTGATTGACCACAAAATGAAGTCGTCTGGAGTTCTAGTGAATAGTCGTAACTGATCAAGTGTACCATATCACGTGTAAGAAAAGACGCTTGCTGATGACATTGGCTCGCAGTTGCGATGTATATCGCGAATGACAGAGGTTAGAATTGATGGGTCATTAGTTTGCGTCCAAGTGTCTGAGTGGTCAACAAGCTCGCCTTGTGTAACCTAAAGATCCTGAAATCTATCTGAAACTGGGATGAGACAGTTTTCTAGTACTTCATAGTTTTCCAGTGATTCTTTAACTGAAATCAGTTAACCAACACTTGAAAATCATCACTGTTAGATTTTCTTCACGTCAGTTGCAGAGATCATTAAAGACCAGAGAGCACCGAATAGGTGTTTCGTCCTACGACCCATGACCCCGCCAGGATATTGAACCTGAAACATTCAGATTGCCAGACACACACACACGTTGTAGCACTCCAGAGTTGAAAAGAGTGGAAGAAAAGTACCTACAAAAGGTCTTCAAAAGAATGGTTATCCACAAAATTTCATCAAAAAGTGTTTAAAGTCGAATCAAAACACCAACAAAGAATCATCATCAAAGACCACAAGAAAATTCATTCTACCATACATGAGAAATATCTCTGAAATAACAGCTAGAATACTGAAACCGTTTGACATAGATATAGCACACAAACCAGTAAAATCGCTTAATTCGATATTATGCAAACCATAAGATCCAACAGAAAAAGGGGATAAAATTAATACCATTTACAAAATAAACTGTATGAACTGTAACAAGCATTACATCGGCCAAAGTGGGCGTCCCCTTCGAATTAGAATCCAAGAACACAAATCAGCCGTGAAAATACACGATATGTATTCTTTAGTATCAATGCATATAGACAGTTATGGTCATCAATTTGATGAGGATAATGTCAAAATCTTAGACAGAGAAAACATCGAAAGTGCCAGGGAATTCCTAGAAGCCCGTTACTCAAACGAAAATGCAATTAACAAACACGTTAATATAAACGAAATATACCAACTAATAAAAAGTAAATCAGGTGACCAGAAAGTTTAAAATCCAAGTCAATAGAAAATGGTCAATACATATGTAAAGATGGTTACCGGGAGATGCGCTAAAGATGTTGTCCAGAAGGACGACGAAAGCTTCATAACTAAACCAACCAGCTCAGAGAACACTATTAATTGCAGATTGCCAGACTATCATAGAATTTAATTATCCTTGGATTTACAACTAAGCGTGTAACTTACGGAGTATTTCACACTGTGAACACCTTCATTATAAGCTTAAAAGCATTCTAATATGTTCATAATTATTGGTCATGTACATACTGATATTGACTGTATCTAGGAGATGGTTAAATTATCCCTTCTATCTGACATATGAATAGCTCTGTCTAGCTGTTTGTAGATTCATACTTTCATTAGACACAATTATGATTTAAGATAATCTCAATATCTTTTGAGCAATTTTTTTGAAAGGGAAATTCTTCCCCTGGGTACATCAAAGAGAAAAGGAATTGATTTTACATTACCATAGAGTTCACGAAATGGCTGCTTATATGGAGGTCACACACTTACCAACAATCTAACTGCCACAGCTATACAGTTGTAGTGTAAGTTAGGATGTATAATTTTCCGAATCCCCCCTTTCTCAGAATAGAAAGTGAATATACCTGGTTTTTCTAGTCATCCAAGGGTAACGCTTTAATGTCATTAAAACCTATCGACTTTAAACATTCACCAAAGTACTTTATTTGGTCACTGGGTAGTAACAAATGTATCTAGTCTCTGGATTGGTGCAGACTGAATTCTATCAGTCAAGTTTGCAGTGTGGTCAACGTACTAGGTGACTCACCATCATGGTACACACTGAATCGCTATTGGGTGGTAGTTGGAAACAATCGACAGGAAGGCCTGTACCTAGGTTTCATGCTTCTTCGCACTCATCAGCGAGGAGTATCTGTAATCCTTGAGGGACTCATGTCCCTTCTGAGATCTGGACCTTCATCACTCAGTGCTACAGTCAGAGACATTACCACTGAGCTATTCGAGCTCGCGTACCCATCAAAATCTTACAGGAGGTTGGTCGCAAGCCTGAAAAGCTCAGTGCAGTGGTAATGTTTCTGACTGCAACACTGGGTGACACGGGTTTGAATCTCAGAGAGAACATGATTTCCTTCAAGATTGTAGATACTCCTTGCTGACTGATGAGTGCCAACTATCACGAAACCTAGGTCGAGGCCTTCCTACTGATTGCCTCCGATCATCCTACTCACTAGAGTGTAATAAACACCCCACAAAAAAGGAAATCAATGCATGTGGTCCCTTTTACCCCAATAAAGTTGTTACTAATAATCTATGCTTATATATGTTATTCCACTTTATAATTTATCGATTTTTTTATATTCTATCTTTGATTTCTAGTAATACAATCAATGATCCTTTACTCTCTGTGTATATATCATTAAAACAAAGAAATATAGACAAATTATGTCGAAAATTTTATGAAGTCAGAGAAGAATTACGAAATTTCACTTTACTACCATTTCAGTTTATTCAATTTCCTAATAACAATTCTTGTGATAATAATAATAGTAGTACTATCAATAAAAGTACATACTTTGCAGGTTAGTCTTATCACTTGATTAATATACATTACAATATATTAATATTTTTGCTTCATTTTTCTTTGAAATCTATTTTCTCCTATTAAAGAATTTCATGTGTTGGTACTCAGGAATTTGATTGATTCCAGGATCAGGTAGTGAGCTGACATTAGTGAGAGAACCGTTGAAAACTATCATGGAATGCTGGACAGCTGTTTCCTCCTAGTTTGAGATTCTTTAGGAGTAAGCACTCATGACTTCGTCGGGAATCTCACTCAAGATCTTTAGGTTACGAGGCGAATCCGTCAACCATTCTTGCCACTGAGATGGAATCTAGTTTGGCATTAATTCACGATACGTAAAGTCACTTCAGTGAGTATTTGTCAAAGACTGTGGAGTTCTATAGTCGTATATTTTTTAAATGAATTTTTTAGAATTATTATTTTGACTTTTAGTTAAGAAGGAGTTAAATTAAATAGTCATCGACTATATGCAAGTTCATATATTAGGTTATAACTTACACAGAGTGTATGCAGACTGGTATTATCTACATGGATGGGGTCGTGTGAGGAGGAGATGAAAGCCTACGGGCAATCGTGGAGCCACCAGTTGAACAGGACTGCAGAAAACAAGATGAAATGGAGATGTGCTGTTGAAGCCTTACATTCCACTCATAGGCGTCTGTGTTCTGTCTTCCGTGTTAAGTTGTATAATAAGGTGAGCAATATTGAGGTTAGGCATCGGTCGAATGCTAGGTAAGGAAGAAGTTACACCAATTGAGATGGTTAGGACATGTGTTACGCATGCCTAGCCTATCCATCGTCTTCCCCGACGGCCAATGTTAGCTGACATGGGATGGATCAGGTTGGAAAAGAGAGTGCTAGTGGTGGTCGAACCAAAACATGACTTCATCAGTCAATGAAATCTACTACAGATGGCTTAAACGAGCTAGCCACGTTAGGAGGTGTAGACTTCTTGATTGGTTGGGGTCCTCGGGATGGTAAAAATCAATAATGGCTGGAGATAATTAGTGATGTGGATCGAAATTGTTCTGGATGATGGCGCAGATGCACTCGCTCTTTGTGATTTATCATATCTAATAAAATCCTATTGTTCTTCCATACTACTATTCTTCTTGCCTCACACTTCTGTTTATTATATGTCTTTCGAACGTCCCTTTACTGTCTTCTGTTGCTGTGTGCTACATTGTGGAAGTGTGGCAACTGGAACTGTTGCACTTCTGTGAAAAGTTCTATGTTGAAACCAGTCAGTCAGTTTGTTCCACCCGGAACCCAAATCAAATAGAATAGAATCAAATAGAAATAGATATGGAAAACATTATTTCCATATGATGTCAAAAACAAAAAAGTGTATTGTTTTAAACCAGAGAAAATCTTCTTCCAAAAGTTCACACAATATTAGCCAGCATGTTTTGCAATTAATTACATGCCATAGCAATACTTATAAAGTGACTGTCAATTGATCAATATCCTGAGAAGAAATCACCTTTCTAAGTGATCAACATTTCTTCGCATACATTTATTAAAGATTATCAAATTGATGAGAAAAGTTTGTAAATAATTTGCGAAAAAACAACTTGCCTGATGTTGTCATTTAATTGATTATGGCGAGTAGTAGTAATAGTAGTAGAATATTGGATGCTCATTTCCTCCTATTTTAAACTCACCAAATTGATGTGTTTGGATCTCCAGTGAATGAATGATAGGGTTCCCAGACAGACTCGAACCCCAACACCCATCGTTTCAAAAAGTCAAAGCATTATCTACTAGGTCTAATCATATGCGGCAGTTTTGAAAAAAACACTAGTTGGTTACACAAAACAATGCTATTCACAAAGAGAAATGCTTAAAAAATAAATGAGCAACTGATTTTCGTAGGTAGGAAAACAACTTTCGACGAAGACAAGATTTTTAGGTGAGATGAAATGAACACAGGAAATTTCTAATTCCTATAGAATGTATAGATGTGTCAGCTCTAAACCATAACCGCGATGTTCTCGTGGTTTTGTGGTCTGGGTGACCGGGGTAGATTATTAACACTCCAGTTAACAGTTTGGTGAGTCTGTTTCCATTCTATCTGCTCTCACACACACTTCTAACACTACTGTATCATGTCTTCTCATTTCTTCTGGAATCTGAGCAGCCTTCTTAGCTTCAAACATGGTGTAGGCATTCTATATTCCCACCAGGGAGTGGTGGATGCCTGTTTCGTCACATTTTAGGACTTTCCACTGTACGTACCCATGACCCCACCAGGACTCGAACCCAGGACGTTGAAGTTACGCGATGAGTTCGTTGACCAATCAGCCGCCACTGAGACCGAACCCAATAGTGCATGAACCTTAACTTATACCTGTTCACGATCATAATGACGAGAATATATTTGATTTATTTTGTTGTTCTATTATATACTTTTCGCTTTTCATTTTAGATATCCTGTTTAAAACAAGGCCGAACAAGTATACAGGTAATTGATTGTTTAGTTTGTTTCTCAACTTTATCTTCATATTTTCTTGGTGTATGAAAGGATCGATCTGTCTTCGCCAATTGTCTTTTGTTTTATGAAATATATTAGTTGAAACGTTGATTGTTTTTTAGGATTTCACCATGAAATGAAATCGGTTAGAGAACCACTGGAAAACCTGCAGGGAGTACTGGACAGCTGTTTCGTCCTAGTTTGGGACTCTTCTGCAGCAGTACGCACCCTCTGTGGTTCGAATCCAGGACCTTCTGGTTACAAGGCGAGCTCGTAGAGGATGATGAAAGTGGGGATTTCCGACAGACGAGTATATTTTACGAGAAAATTGATACCTGTGTGTAAAGCATACTCTTGACATTTACAACCCGAAGGTGAAACCAGGAATAGGCTCCGAAATGTGCATCACAATCCTTCGAAATTCACACAGTTCCATTCACAGCTGGATAACGAAAAAGTAACTGTCAACTTCTGGCGCGTCACGAAGGACACTTCAAACAAACTACAGACCTTCATCAACAGCTGTCTTTGCTGAATACTCATGATCAGATGGCCAGAAAAGATCAGCAGCAGGGATCTCTGAGAGCAAACCAACCCAGCAGGAACCAATTGTGAAACAAATATGCAGGAAGAAATAGAGTTGTGTTGGCCATACTCTGAGTAAACCGTCGAGTGAAATCACACGTCAGGCTCTCGGGCGGAACTCGAATGGGAAGCGGCGAGTTGGTCGTCAGTGCGAGGGTAACATGGAGGAGGTCATGCGAGGAGGAGATGAAAACATGCAGGCAGACGTGGAGTCAGGTGAAAATGTTGGCGGAGAACCGAACGCAGTGGAGACGTGCTGCTGAAGCCCTATGTTCCTCAAGGAACTAAAGGAAACAACGATAATAATAACTGTTAACTACTGATAAAATGTTGACAGACCATAGTGAAAATAAGTTTCCGCAGCATTCTGAGTCGGTTGTACATTTTTTTAAAAAAGTTACTATCTGTCCCACTATCTGACTATTGATGTTGAGCACGGTTCATCTGTGGTTTTCACAATAGTCATTTTAGCATATCAGTTATATTCATTATCTATTGTTTCTTTTCCTTCTCTAGGTAATAGTAGATATGCGATATGCATTGTTCATCAAGAGCGGGATATTATTGTCAAAGGTTCATTACTTTCACTTGTGAATTTCTATTACCAAACTCAGCGCCTACCTGTTCTTATGGTAAGGCGGAATTTTCTGCATAGTTTATTATTTGTTTCACTTTATTTATTCTATCATTCTCGATTCTCTTGATGACTTGCTTTGTAGATTAAAGACCTGGTATTATTGGTATCAAATAGTTGGAGGCAATCGACAGGAAGCCTTGAATAGCCCAGGTTTTGTGTTAGCTGTCCTTACCAGTCAGCAAAGCGTATCTGTAACCTTAAAGGAACTCATGTCCCTTCTGAGATTCGAACCCGTGTCATCCAGTTCAGTGCTGCAGTCAGAGACAACATTACACCACTGAGCTATTCAGACTCGCGATTGACCTCCTGTGGGACTGACTGAATACTAGTCAGTAATCAGTGTAATGTGTATGTCTAGTCCTATCTTTGGTTCAGACTGAATTCTACCGCACTGCAAACTTTACTGATCGAATTCAGTCTGCACCAAAGATAGGACTAGACATACACATTACACTAGTTACTGACTAGTGTCTAGTCCAAAGAAAAACAACTTAGGAATGTGTACTACTATGGTGTTTGTGCACGTTTTTTTTGCCTATAGTTTTGATGTATTCTGTTAGTTCTGCCTCTGTCTGGATTCAACATAGAACTTGGCACCGAAGTGCAGCAGTTCGAGTAGCCACGTTCCAAATAGCACACAAAGGTAGACAGGAAAATGAGTGAAGAGAATCAATAGAGTTTTGACAAGTATAAGAGTGAAACAGAGTGAGTAATGGTAGAAAGGAATATCAAAGATTACAGAGACTGAATACATCTGCGTAAGCCATTGACAACGATTTTGAGCCATGTCACCTATTGTCTCCAGCCATTGATTCTTAGAGTCCCGAGGGCGGGCCCCAACCCGGAAGTCTGCATCTCCCTACCTGACTCAGTTTAACTGTCAGGGATTTCATGGATTGATGAGGCCATGTTTTTGTTTGGCCACCACTTACTCTTTTCCAACCTGCACCTATATCAGCTAGTAATGCCCGTCGGGGGAGGCGATGGTTAGGCATGCGCAGCACGTGACCTAGCCATCTCAATCTATGTAACTTTATAGCCTCTTCGATTGATTTTCCCTCTTTGCCCAACACTCTACGCCTAACGTCAACATTACTTACCTTATTATACCACCTAACGTGAGAAAGAGATCGTAGACATCTATGATCGAAAACAGTCAACCTTTTCATGTCTTCAACTCGTATTGGCCATGTTTCAGAGCCACAGAGAAGGACGGAGCGAACTACTGAGCAGTACACACGTCCTTTGGTTGATAGCTGTTAGTTCTACCTAAATATAGGTCCGGTTAGCTGTAGGCGAACTTGTAGATACAGTATAAGGTAGAGTCAATGTAGAACTTTATTCTTCAATTGTAGTCACTGTAAGGGGAAATAGCCGTGATGTTAGAAAAAAAATATATACTCTCCAGATAGCCGATTAAAGCTATTAAGTTTCCGTCCTTAGTAGAGAACTGGCTGAACTTTATAGCTGCTAAATTCATGTATAATCTCATTCTCTCAGTATTTCTGTTATCTGTTTTATTTGGTAAAAGTCACTTAATTGTTCAGTAGTTTATAATTAATGAAAAGAATTTTTATTTACCATCTTGTATATATGAAAAATAGTAAAATCGTCTATTTTGTAAATGACTCTTTCATATTCCTTTGCATTCCTAGTGGACAGTAGGACTTTAACTTTGAAGTTTCTGTAGCAGAGTAGTGTTGTTATTTTACAGAGGAGGGGGGAGTTCCTAGCGCCATGTACAGTCTTCCTTCTTTTCTGGGTTTACCACCGCTTATTAAACCAGGTGAAGATTAGAAATGCGATAGCCGTGAATCGAACCCCCACTTACCATATGGCTGTCGAGTATTCTTCCACCAATGCACTAAGCTGCTTACTGGCGATGGAACTCAAACACAAGGAGAGGGGTACACCCCAAAAGAATCCTATGGCCACTACTTTAACCATTCAAATATCTCAGCTCTGTGTGTATTACTTTATTGCCTGCTAATTAATTGTTAAAATAGTAGGGATTTATATTGTGCCGTTGTTTTTTCCGAGCCTCACTGGTTGTTATTTCTGAAACACTTCCTATAACCTAAGGTATACATTGAAGTGTGCGTCGGTGGCACAGCGGTTAGGACTCTCGCCGACCATGCATATGGTCCAGGGTTCGATCCCCTGATGATGCACACCTGATATCAATGGTCGGCCTGCAAAATTTGGGCTACCAATATCACATGCTGAAAATTCCATACTTGTACCTAAAATATGGTGTGAAATCTAGCTATAACCAAAAAAAATATATAAAAGTTTAATATTCTCTGTTCACTTAAATATCATCATTATATGTCATTGTTGTTATGACCGACTATGAGCTATACGAACCTAATGCCCAGATGGGAACTACTGCTACTATGATCGATAATCACACTGTGAACTACAAAAAGAACACTGTACCACAGACATGTGAAAAGAAAAGAGAAGACGAACCCTTGACAAAAGATGTTTCACACTGTCTTAAACAATAGTCAGAATGCTTTAAGCTGGTGATTCGTATATAACCCTGAGAAATACTAAATTCACTAACAAGAGTTTTGCCTTTAAAAAAATGTGGGAATACAAAATACGCGTTACTGCAAAATAGAGTGAGTTTAATGGTGAATTGGGAAAAAAACTCCATAAGATATTTATTTGATAACTCTGATCAATAGCGATCCGAAACGAAGCTGCTTAGAAAACAGAAGTAATGGCCTTGGTCAACCAACCGGATGAGTTCTTAAATAAAAAGGCGGAAATCTAGGCGCAGTACACGAATTATGTTGCAGACTCCATCAGGGGGTAGTATTTTAGTACTATCGGGATAAAAGGCGTATAGGAAGCATCCTGTGTTCATGGATGTGTGTAAAGATATCCAGGCCGTCGTTACAGAAAGTCTGTCTGAGAGGATATATCGTTCCCTTTTCAGGTTCATGGGCGCTGTAGAGCAAAGAATGGGTCACGAAACAGCATGATAAACAGTTATCTAGATGTATTTATGTACAGAAGTAGGTCTGGACTATCACTGAAGATTGCAGCAAGGAATTAGGCGGGGGGGGGTTGTCTTGGGACACACACGAAAAGGTTACCCTCGTATGACTATTTTTTAACACTAACTCTGATGTCCATAAAAAGTTTTTTAAATTACGCGCATTTACTACAAGCTCGTCTGATAGGTTGATCAAAGGCCATTACGTCCGTTTTTTAGGTGGTATCGTTTTGAGTCTCTGTAATTTAGAGTTACTATTTATTTTTTGTCTTCAGAGATTATGCTAGTCTCTAGCAGTAAATCTTGTTTGGCAGTTATATCTACGTAGACAGTAGGCTTCAAAATTAAACTTACAAAATTGCATTTTTATGCTACCCGGACACTCAAACCTACTGAGATGGTTGTCTTAAGGAGTCACTCCCTCCAGAGCCTTTGATTTAAGGTCTGATTCAAAAACCAATGAAGAAGCGTCAGGAGCTATATTCCCCATGGTGTCCGGTGACCAAAACAGGTTCATAGGCGGATTCTGGAGCTCATGTACACTACATGTTTACAATCATGGTTTACCAACTCCCCTAGATAGCGAAAATATTCGTTCGCACAATTAGAAAAAAGAATTGAACAAAGAATATCCTTTTCGATAATTTCCTCTTCTGACTGTACAATTATATATGTGTTTATATGCACACACAATATTCTAGAATAGTCGTCATTAACCACATTGGTGTTTTTAAATACTATCGATTTATTAAGTAAGATCAATTGGTATTACGGTTCAAGAAAGACGCTTAAGCTTTGATAAGCATAAAAATGTTATCGCAAATATAATATCAAATAAAACTAAGGAAATTTCCACGACAAATTGAAGATCATTAAAACTTTGATGGCCAGGAGGGTAAGAATAGTGTCTGAACCAACTTCTTTTGGATGTATAAATTAGGTTTCTTAATTTGGATGCCGAAAGCCGGCCTCAGCAATATGTAGTAGACAAACTCTTAAGAAGGTGAAGTTAAGACTGTAACGACAGAAGGCAAGAGTCAGGCAACAGATCATTTATTAAGGAAATCAACGCATATTTATATATGTTTTCATGTACATTACTATGGATATGTAAACAAACAAACACAGTCTTCCGATTGGTTGTTTCTCACGACAAATCTTGGGAACGTAAATATTGACGTAAATTATTGTCTACTAATTTGGCTAGTAGACAGCTCTCACCACAAGACTAGTTGGTATGCGGTAGGTGACTTTGCAAGTCGTCTCGTTAACATCAGTCTTGTTTTCTGTATCCACAAGATAAGATAGAATAGAGCTATGAATGGATTTTATTTGTCCCCTACTTAACCACGCAGAATGATGTTCGGAAACCCGAAGATAAATACGCCTAATTGTACCTCCTATGCAACTAACTGACTCTACAGGAGCAGTCAAGTTGGTAGGCACATATAGAAGAAGCAAAATTAGGCAGTTTATCTTTAACTCCCTAACGCAAAATAGGAGTGGACAGTTTTGAAGACACAACATAATGCAGCCAGCAGCACTGAATGCTCTTTTTTACAGCTGTATTCCTTAGGCGTTGTATTAATATCTCCTAGATAGTTCTGAATGTCCGTCATTCCGATCGAAAGCGCCAGATATTCTCATTTGCCCTTCTACTCTTTTTTGAGGAACGGCTCTGCTGTGCGAAGGCAGTGAATATTGCGTACCTGGTAGATGCTAAATGAAAACATTTTGACTGGAAGACAATAAGCCTACTACCCAACGTTGATCATAGCAGGTTGTTTGAAGGGGCACATAGTAGTTATTGTAGTTTTTATTTTCCATCTATTTCTTCCATATCATGTTATTGTGTATATCTTTGTGTGTTAATTGAAGACGCAATGTTTATCTCCTCTGCTTGATGTTTTCCCTTCTTTTTGTAGTTTAATTATACTACCTACCAATCACTTGATAAACAAGGAAAAGAAATTATGCTCAGAAATTTCCTAAACGATATCTACAATGGGATAAATGACAACAATGAATTATCCTCTACAGAAATTCTTACATTCAGTTGTATTCTTCATAATAAAGATAATGATAATTAAATAATTGTTAATCTTATGACAGTAACAGTAATGTGTTTATGGTTCTTCTTCTTCTTATTCTTCTCCGTCGTCGTCGACTCCTAATTGTACAGATAAACCTCAGTTTTGCATATCCATCCATATCCATCTCTTTGTCTAGATTATTGTACTATATCTACACATATGTCATGCATTAGTCTTTGGCATTGTATACATTGTACACAAACTGGACAGTCAGTCAGTCAGTATATAGACTCTTCCCTTCCCTTCTCAGCCCCCGTAACTCCACCCTTAACCCCCTTTTTCAGATATGAATAGGAAATTACTCATTTTCTTCTTCTTCTCAAATACTCACATTTTATAGAAGCCCTCAAACTGTGTACTTGCCTGCTTGCTGGCTTCTTCTTCTGTCTTGCTGTTTTCCCTTAGTAGTAAGTAGCATTAATTCACCTTACTTACCTTACTTACTTCTCTTACTTAGACTTATCACTTAAAACATGTAGTTGATTTTGCTCTCTAATGTTTTATTTATCTGCCTAGTTGTAATTTTTTTTTTTAATTTTCACAATAAGGATTGTTGTGTAATAAGTATGCTAATAAGATGATGATTATTCACTTAAATGAATAAAGTATTATCTAATTCGAGTGAGATATCCTTTTATTCTCCCCCCCCCCCGCCTAGCCATCCCCCAAATGATTTACAATTTAGTCAAGGTGATCATTAGTGTCATCGTGTCTGATGTGGAATATTAACCTCTATAGCAGACTGTGTGGTGGACTACTACATGGTTATTTATCTCAGGGACTTCATTCTTCCTTCCTTCTACTCTTCCAAAATTGCTGTGGTTGTTAGGTTTTCGTAGGGAATAAAGTTTTCTTTTGTTTTGCACAATTCTCCTTTCTTTTCACTCTCGCTCGATAGTATCTGGAATTTTACATTGATATAAATAAAGAACAATGTGAGACTGTGGGTTTTGATTTCCATACTTTTTAATTTCCAAAAAGAAAAATATTGTTTTAACATGAATGTTTAAGTGTTGATCTGCTGGGATTTGTGTCCCAGACTAGGAAGAAAAAACTGTCCAGTACCCCTCGTGGTTTTTCAATGGCTTTCTGAATGATGTCAACTGGTATTTCTAGCTTGAAACCAATTGAATCGCTGCAAATGAATACTTGAACCTCGCCTAGATTACTAGGTCACTAGTATTCTAGCCGGTCCCAAGCCCGGATAAAGAGGGAGGGTTGGGGCGTGGTGCTAGCAACTCCACCCCCAAAACTTAACCAAATTGCTACTAAAACTTCAACGCACAAATATATTCAAAATTCTAAAATTACAAATAGTGACCTTATTTTTCGCTGGAATCGGGGAAGTGAAATGACGCGGGCTGGTGAAAGCCTTCGGGAAGCCAGTCAGCCGATGTGCCTCCTTTCGATGAAAGCGAAAATAAGGATGGGGACGTGGAATGTTCGTACAATGTACGAAGCTGGGAAGGCTGCTCAGGTAGCCGCAGAAATGAGGAGATATAGAATAGAAGTGTTGGGAATCTGCGAGAGCAGATGGAACGGATGTGGAAGGAGCCAACTATCAACTGGAGAGACAATAATCTACTCCGGTCACCCAGAGGACAATCATGAGCACACCGAGGGAGTAGCCATCATGATGTCACCAACAGCGGCTAAAGCTCTCATGCAGTGGGAACCAATCTCCTCCAGGATAATGACAGCCAGGTTCAACTCAAAAGGAAAAAAGGTTACAATCATTCAGTGCTACGCGCCTACAAACGCCTCAGAACATGAGAAGAAGGAGGATTTCTACAGTCAACTACAAACAGTAATGGACAACGTCCCAAAGAGCGATATCAAAATCCTGATGGGCGACATGAATGCGAAACTGGGAGGAGACAATACAGGAAGAGAACTCACCATGGGTCGTGAGGCCCTCGGTGAAATGAACGAAAATGGTGAACTCTTCTCAGACTTCTGCGCCTTCAATGATTTGGTGATTGGTGGCAGTGTGTTAAAACACAGGGATATACACAAGGCAACATGGATTTCACCAGATGGACACACCAAAAACCAGATAGACTTCATTTCAATCTCAAGGAAGTGGAGACGGAGCCTACTGGACACAAGATCGAGGAGAGGAGCAGATGTGGGTTCAGACCACTATCTGGTACAAGGGACATTCAAGGTGAAGCTGAAAGCCTCGAGGATACCTGGGGATAGGCCACAATGCAAGTTCAACACGCAAAAACTGAAGGACACAATCACACAGGACATTTTCACTGCAACTGTCAGAGCAAAGCAGGAAACACTACGTGGCATCACTGAGGAATCATTCGTGGAAGACCATTGGAACTCTCTGAAGGTGATTGTCAACGAAACGTGTTCAACGATTTTAGGAAGAAAGAAGCGACAAGACAAGGAATGGCTCTCAACGGACACTTGGAAGCTAATAGAGGAGAGTAGAATGGTGTAAGAGAAAATGATTCAATGCAAAGATGGACAAGAGAAAGAGACGCTGAACTCAACTTACACAGCACTGGACAAAGAAGTGAAGAAGAGTGCCAGGAAGGACAAAAGACAATTCTACGACAACCTGGCAACTGAAGCTGAGAAGGCAGCAGGCAAAAGGGACCTGAGGACACTATATCAGATAACCAAGTCTCTATCCGGGAAGAGATCAACACAAGTGAAACCTATAAAAGACAGCCAAGGGAACCCAATTACCTAGGAAGAAAGACAGATTAAACAATGGGCGGACCACTTCAAAGGACTCTTGAACCGACCACCACCTACAACCCGTCCAGTAATACCAACAACAGCACGTACACAACTGCAAGTTGACACCAATCCTCCAACGAAAACTGAAGTCATGAATGCAATCAAGCTTCTGAAAGCTGGAAAAGCAGCTGGACCAGATGGAATATCCCCGGAAGCACTGAAAGCGGACCCAGAAACGACGGCAGATATGCTGACTCCATTATTGCAAAAGATCTGGAAAGAGGGAAAGGTGCCTACTGACTGGAGGAAAGGTTACCTGGTGAAACTACCAAAGAAGGGCGACCTGGGACTCTGCAAGAACTGGCGAGGAATCATGCTCCTGTCGACGCCAAGTAAAATCCTGAGTCGCATCATCCTGGAGAGAATAAAGGACACACTGGATACAGAACTCCGACCAGAACAAGCTGGATTCAGGAAAGGCAAATCATGTTATGACCAAATGGCAACTCTACGCATTATCATCGAACAAAGCATGGAATGGCAATCAAATCTCTACCTCAACTTCATAGACTTTGAGAAGGCCTTCGACAGCGTTGACCGTGAAGTAATTTGGAAACTACTCGAGTACTACGGCGTACCGCAAATATTCATCAACCTTATTCAACAACTGTACGACAACGGCACATGTCAAGTGATCCACAACGGAAAACTCTGCGAAGCGTTTGGAGTAAACACAGGAGTCAGACAAGGGTGCTTATTATCACCAATGATATTCCTAATTGTGGTGGACTGGATTATGCGTCAGACAGTGGGAAACGAGAAGACAGGGATATCCTGGACCGACGTGAAGAACCTAGAAGACCTGGATTTCGCGCGTGGATGATTTATGTTTGATGTCACACAAAATCGAAGACTTACAGGCGAAAACCGACAAACTGGTCGAAGAAGCAGCAAAGACAGGACTCCAGGGGAACATAGACAAGACGGAGGTTATGAAAATAAACAACCAACAGCAACAACAGCAGCAGCAACATCCAGTGCCAATCACCATCAACGGGAGGGATTTGAAAGAGGTTACTTCTTTCACTTATCTAGGGAGCATTGTCTCAACCACAGGAGGAACGGACGAGGATGTCAAATCGAGCGAGAATCGGGAAGGCGAGAAACACATTCATCAACCTGAAACCAATCTGGAAATCTTCGTCACTCAGCCTGCATCAACAACAAAATTCGGATTTTCAATACAAACGTCAAGTCAATTTTGCTATACGGATCAGAAACTTGGCGGGTCACCAAGAATATTTTCAACAGGTTGCAAACCTTTATCAACAACTGTCTTCGCTCCATACTGAAGATTAGATGGCCAGAAAGAATCACAAACAAGAAGCTATGGGAACAAACGAAACAGGAACCAATCGCCCAACAAATATGCAGGAGGAAGTGGAGATGGATTGGACACTCGCTGAGAAGGCCGTTGAGTGACATCGCGCGTCAAGCCCTCGAGAGGAACCCGAAAGTGAAGCGGCGAGTGAGACGTCCAAGGGTGACATGGAGGAGATCGTGTGAGGAGGAGATGAAACAGTATGGAATAACATGGACGCAAGTGAAAAGAACAGCAGAAGACAGAAGCAAGTGGAGACGTGTAGTTGAAGCCCTATGTTCCACTAGGAACCCAAGGGAACAATAATAATACAATAATAAATGAATACTTGATGTTCACTAGTAATTGGCGCTGTATACAGGAAGTTACCTGGAGTTCTATTGAGAAGTTGTGACCAGAAGAGTAAGAGGATTGGTTTACTCACTGATGAAATTTGCTGGTGGTTGGGCTATATGTATATAAAGACAGTTGCAGCGAAGAAAATTTTCTTTTCGACGAAGTCATCATCTAGGCTGTACATTCGTGTATTTATATCAAATGGATAGGAAAGTTCCAGAACAATTTCTGGTTAGGGGTTGAATAAAAATTACAATTAGGAATTAGAATGCCATAATAAACAGGGGGATGGGTAAAACTAAAACTAAGAAAATTGACATTGTGCAATTGGGGTTAGAAATGTAAAAAATAACAAAATATACAGGATGTTTGGATAAGAAACTAGTGTGATGAATAATTGTTTTAATAAAAATTACAATTAGGAATTAGAATGCCATAATAAACATGGGGGATGGGTAAAACTAAAACAAAGTAGCATAATAACTAAGAAAATCGATATTGTGCAATTGGGGTTAGAAATGTAAAAATAACAAAATATACAGGATGTTTGGATAAGAAACTAGTGTGATGAATAATTGTTTATGCAATCAGGGATTAAATATGTAGAGATAATAAAATGACAAAATAAACAGGAGGTGTGGATATCAAAATATGGTAGTGTAGACAGGGATTAAGAAAACTTAAAATAACATGAATAAACAGGAAGTTTAGATAAGAAAGGCGATGGGATGGTCATTATTAAAAAAAATTTACCTGTTTACGATGGCCATGGCAGGGACAGGGGTTGAATGTATTTCTTTTGGATACAAAGGGTGGGTTTGAGTTTTTGGATAGCTAACGCCTCAGCTATGCCCAAATGTCTTGATTTCACTCCCTTTGATAGGTTTGGTTGAATCTTGTATATTACTTTGAAGGACTTTTCGAAAGGCGCTGAATGTCCTGAGTTGACCAGATGTTCTGTCACTGAACTGTTTACACGTTTTTGCTCTCCTTTTACCAGCCAGGCTGGGTAGTGTTCACGAGCGCGTTTTCCAAGTTGGCGCATGGTACGGCCGATGTACTCAGCTCCACAAGAGCAAGTGAACTTGTATATGCATGTTGAGGTGGCCCAATGCGACAGCTTGTCTTTCGCGTTCTGATTGAATAGTTTCTTGCAGGAAAACGTCAGTCGTAGGCTTGCGGCGAAGTATGTTTTCCTCAGCGATTTGGAGAGGCGTTTGCGAAGGATTTCTGCTTCGATATCACCTT